TTCAGAACTAAGCATTGAAGATCAATGTAGTTTTTTGCTTGGTGATCGCTCACAATTATGTTTGACTGATATAGAATGGGAAACTCTGATGCTGAACATGGCTAGAAATATCAAAGGTATGGTCTATGAAATGGAAAGCTTAATATTATAGTGGTTAACATATAATGTATATCTAAAGGTGCATTAGTATTTAAATCGATAATGTAAAGATTATGTTGTAAGTAGTTTAAAATTATGAATTGTACATGTAAATGTAATCATAAGAATATCAAAAACATTGTATTTATACTTTCAAATGTTTTTACATATAAAATACGACTTATTTTTTAAAATGTTTTGACAATATATGAAATCTCTGATGCGATTGGCTAACAATGGTGTCGACCCATATGTTAAGTGTAATCACATCAAAGGAAAGGAAAGATGACACTGTGATCATGCTGTATATGTCGGTGCAACCATGAAAGAATCTTCCAAAATTCAATACATTGTGCCAATAATTACTTTACTGTTATCGGTATATATGGAAAGTAGTGGTTAAATTAAATACCCCTTACTATCTATTGTTAAAACATAGCTGTGATGTCATCCATTTTTCCTTCTGTACTTAAGTGAGCATGTTACCTGTAACTGTTCTATATGTTACCAGTTACTGTTCTATATGTTACCTGTAACTGTCCTGTATGTTACCTGTACCTGTCCTGTATGTTACCTGGAACTGTTCTTTATGTTAACTGTAACTGTTCTATATGTTACCAGTAACCGTTCAATATGTTACCAGTTACTGTTCTATATGTTACCTGTAACTGTCCTGTATGTTACTTGTAACTGTTCTATATGTTACCTGTAACTATTCTATATGTTACCAGTAACCGTTCTATATGTTACCAGTTACTGTTCTATGTGTTACCTGTTACTGTTCTATATGTTACCTGTAACTGTCCTGTATGTTACCTGTAACTGTTCTATATGTTAAAGAAAATGTCTCTATAATCCCTGCATAGGATGGAAAAGAACGTAATACAGACAGACATGTTTTGAAACATGAGATCTGATTAAAAAAGTAAAATACAATTGATTACAGTGTACTTCAATCAAATCTATTCAAGAAAATATGACGCAGACACAAAATGCTTGTACATCCGTTTATACCATAATTTGCATATTCAGGCGGGGAATATTTTCAGAATTTTAGGGAAGCACATATCAGCAGCAATTATATTGACTTCCTTAGAATTTTTCTCTGTTTCACGGGTATTTTTTTTTTTTTTTTTTGGGGGGGGGGGGGGCACGTTTATATGATCTTATTTTCCTGGTGATCTGTGACCTATTTCTTCTGCAACCAATTGACTATCCACACCAGCAGCATGCAGTCTTGTGGCCGCAGTTGCACGAAGGGCACGGTTCGTATGAAAACCAGAAAAAAAAAACACGCAGTCTTGCAGAGTCTTGCCGCTGTTTGTTGCACTTGGTAGATACCAAAAGGGAAGTCAATGCACCAACCTCATTCTCTGGTATATATTTATATATATGTATAATGCTATCTTTAATGCTAATCTACAATTGTTTTGATTTCTTTTCAGCTTTATTTAATTCAAATTACACACAAACCGTATTTTATAACCCTCCCTGATAAGATTCAAAACCAAATATAATATATCCCTCTGTTTTTTAATACAGATAACTTGTACATGAAATGAAATATCAAAGCCTTACCTTAGGCTTATATAAAGCTTGTAAATCCTGACAGGATACCTTTGTTGGAGATACAGCATTCTCATGAATCCTGACAGAATACCTTTCTGGAAATACAGCATTCTCATGAATCCTGACAGAATACCTTTCTGGAAATACAGCATTCTCATGAATCCTGACAGAATACCTTTCTGGAAATACAGCATTCTCATGAATCCTGACAGAATACCTTTCTGGAAATACAGCATTCTCATGAATCCTGACAGAATACGTTTCTGGAAATACAGCATTCTCATGAATCCTGACAGAATACCTTTCTGGAAATACAGCATTCTCATGAATCCTGACAGAATACCTTTCTGGAAATACAGCATCCTCATGAATCCTGGTTTATCAATGTAAACAGTACATCGTGTAACAGTTGTTATCCTGAAACTCAGTCAAAGTCATTGATATGAATAAACTTGAAAGCTTTTCATCCAAGCATGCTACTGAGATAATTCCAGCTGATTATTTGGAAGATTTTAAGAGTTTGACACATTTGACTTGTGTGAACCTTGAAGTGGGTCAATGTAATTCATTTGAACAAACTTGGCAGTTCATAATACCATTACCCTGTTGGTGTAATACAATCAGTCTGTGTTTCCTGGTTTTTTCAATGTTTAATGATTTCAAAACAGTTTTTGAGTTTAAAGCTTGCTCATGGTTATTTATTTGAACAAACTTGTGATGCCGATATATTAAAGCAATTGATTATTTTTATTGGAGCCTCGCCCTTTAACTCCAAGGGGTGGTTCAGCATTTTCATTTTCACACCATAGAAATGGTCACTGTATAATTCGAATTCATATTGATTTTCTTCTTGAAAATAATATAAATATATAAATGTGTACACAATACTGTAAAGGCAATTTTAAAATTCACTTTAATCTTCCTTAAATTGCTACATCTGGTGGGTTTATCAAATCTATCATGTTCCAGTTCTTTTATCATACAAACATATGCTTTACACGTATATAAGGGAACTCCAATCCAAATAGTTAGATACGACGTTTTTAAGTTAACTAGGACCGTGGATTCCATCACATACAAAAAGATGTCATGTTACAAGCACGGCATTTGTTATAACAGAACTGACAATAGACAGTGTTATATTATACTATGGCATATCCATATAATAACAGAATATGGAAAAATAGGTGATTACAATGTACATATGTATTAGAAGGTAATTGTTCGAGTCTTTATAATATATGATGCATTCTTTAGATTTCAACATATAAGACATAAATGCGTCATCTTTTGTCAGCTTCTCTTTCAATACAAAAATATAACAGGTATTACACCCACTCTGGTTCATGACGTATTTAAGGTTGCGTATCCTTGATTTAGTGCAACCCATAATTTCTATGCCCCGACCCTTGAACATTTTCCAGGTACGTTGGTGTAATTACTTTCCAGATAACTGCATATTCATTTTTCTTGCAATATATTTATGCGCTTTTGATATAACAAGGATAAATGATATAGTTGCGTAAATATATATACAGAAGACGTGCTGTTAATTTCATATGTGAAATATTTACATGACTAAGAAGCGGGGATTTTCTCGTTACTTTCTATGCACACGAATTGAAAAAAATACCCATCATTATTATGCCTAATTTCCGATGATTTACATTCAATTAATTTAATTTCATTAAAGAAACGGCAAAAATATTACACAGGAATACAGTACAGAAACAGAAAGAAACATGTTCGTAACAATCACTCTATTGCTATGCCAAAGGATCTGGGTTGGGTAGGCCTATTTAACGGAATGGTCTGAACAGAGCGGAAACACTGAAAGGAATGTTCTTTCTCTCAAACTTAAGTCTGTAAACGTTTTGTTTGTGAATTTGAATGTAAGTTTTGATAGAAATGATCAGTTATAAACTGACAGTACTGTATTTCTTAATATCCTAATGTATGGGCTTTTATTATTCTTTTAAAAGATTGGGAATCTGATGAACTTCCTTACTGTGAAAGGAAACAGGCGTAAAACAGGGAAAAATCTATGGGTTGGCTACAGGTTTTTTCTCTGCTTGACTCAAGGAGTTGTCTTGATCACCAACATTAGAGACAGGGAAAAGTTAACTATTGATTTTTTAAAGTGAAATTTTCTTTTTGTAGCATAAACTCTTCAAATTTCATGGTGGCAATTCAGACTAGGTTAGAGTTAGGTTATTATTATGGGATGGCTGTTTGATGGTTAGACATATTCACTTCTGCCCTAAAAAAGGAATGGTGAGTGGGGTAAGAAGCGATACATTGACTAAAATTTTTTAAATCTTCTCACAACTCAGTGTAGAAAAGAAATGTGCTTAAAGAAAGGCCTTAAGATGCATAACTGAATTGTAAATTTCCTGACCCATGGGGCTTACATTTTCCCCTGTGCAAGGGATGAAGAACATTGCATTTTTGAGTCCAATTTGTTAAAATGCCATTGGAGATGTAATTACTTTCGAAACTTCTACATTAAATGACACTGAAAATAAACACAAAAATGGCCACCTAAAGATTAAAAAAAACTTCAAAAAAGGAAAAATCATGAGTTAAATATCAAAGACTGAATTTCACATACAATGTTTTCTTTTTGCCAAATGAATCAAAGAAAGAAATGTAGGATATTTTCTGTGATCAACATACACATATTGTAGTTTGATACCTTAATCAACCATGACAGCATCAATTACCCTACCAGACCTCAAACCTATCACTATAGAAACTGTCATACAGCATTTGTTTTCTAAGTATCATTATATGTCTATAGGAATGTTTTTTTAGCAAAATCAATGAGTGTCTGTTGACAATAAACAGTAATTGTCATATATATGCTGCAGTCATATCACATTGGTAAATCAAAAACCAGTAATTTTGACGGAAAATTGTATTTTTATCTGTAATCATGTAATTTTGACTAAAACCTGTAATTTAAAATGGCAAAATTATAATAAATCCTAGTTTCATTAACCTGACAAACCTAATAAAAAAAGATGTAAAATAAGCTGAAATGTAGTAAAATAAAATGAAGCTAACAATTATTACAGTTTTGTCATTTTGAATTAAAGATTTCTGCCAAAATGACATGGTTACAGATAAAAATGCATGATTACAGATTAAGTTATATTTTTCAGCCAAAATTACAGGTTTTGGATTAACCAGTGTCAGAATAATGAAATACAACAGTTAAAATGTTTAAAAACAGGAAATCATCTATGTGACATTAAATTTCTTTTCTGAATACTTTCAGTTGGATGTCAACACCTACCCATTGGAGATGTTAAATTCCAGAGCTTGGTTATAAGATGCAGAAAAGTGTGTACAAGACTGACTTAAGAACACAAAACAGATTTCCTCCAAGAAGAATGATCATAAATCTCAACAAATGTGCACTTAAATTAGATCTTCAGCATTCAGTATCATTCCCTTTCAAAGACAAAAGCATCAGTGATGGATGGTTTTCATAATGATATTGGTGCACAACCAAGTAGGACTTAAGTGACTTCAAAATATTGAAATCACTGTAAGGATTAAGTAGACCACTTGACAAAGATAAATTTTGAATGATGCCTGCTACCGAGACAGTCTACAAGTGTGGTGTGTGTAGTAAGTTATTCGATGAGTTGTCAAGCCTACAGATCCATCTCGAGACACATCTAGACCAGACAGGCTTCATATGTGATATCTGTGATAAAAAGTTCAATGATCCTCATAACCTACGGAGACACAAACAGACACATACAGGTGAGAGGTCATACAAGTGCGGGGAATGTGAAAAGTTGTTTTCTAACCAAAACAATTTGAAGACACACTTGCGGACACATACAGGAGAAAAACCATACCAATGTGATATTTGTAGTAAAGCATTTAGTGATTTATCTCCCCTACAATACCATCTCAAGATCCACACAGGAGAGAAGCCCTACATATGTGATATATGCCAAAAAGGGTTTAGTAGTGCCTCTAGTTTAAAAAGACACCTCAGAGTCCATACTGGAGAGAAACCATACAAATGTGACATTTGTAGTAAGGCATTTAGTGATTTGTCTCACAGACAATACCATCTCAAGATACACACAGGAGAGAAGCTTTACACATGTAACGAGTGTCAAAAGGGGTTTGGTAGTGCGTCTAGTTTAAAAAGACACCTTAGAGTCCATACTGGAGAGAAACCATACAAATGTGGCATTTGTAATAAAATGTTTAGTGATTTATCTCCTCTACAATACCACCTCAGAATACACTCAGGAGAGAAGCCCTACACGTGTGATACATGTCAGAAAATGTTTAGCAGTGCGCATAGTTTAAAAAGACACCTCAGACTCCATACTGAACAGGAACAGTAGAAAGAAGAGATCTATACAGACACTTAGTTTTTTATCTTTCCTGCAACACCACCTCATGATACAGTACAATATCAACAGAAGTTGTTTATAGATTTTGATACATACAGTTGACCCCTGTGACCTTGAAAGTGGGTGGAAGTCATTCTTTGGAACACATACATGGTGACTCTTATTCCTACGTTTGCAAACCTTAACAAATTTGACTCTTGTGACTTTGAAATGGTCAAGTTCATTCAAATTCCTTGAAACAAACTTGGTAGTCTTTCACCCTAGCATGAACTTACCTGCATACCATTGCACAAGCTCAATTTGACTTTGTGCAGGTAGGCCGAATCGTCATCTATTTGTGTAAAAGCATTTCACCTTTAAATTCTTTACTTGACATTTAGAATTAGTGAATTTGAATAGTGCATGTAATTGAAAATCTTGCTCTTCATAATTCAAACCGAATACACAATCAGATATTGGGTGACAACTCAATTGTTTACTGGCAATCAATTCAAATGACTATAATTGTATGAGTGTATGAGGTAGTCATATATGCTTAGGAATTAATTTTTGTTAATTTTTACTTTGTTTTGTGGTAAATATTTTATGTAAATTGTACATGTCGTTATGTATGTTTGAAAGAAAACTTTATTCAGAACTATTTCATCAGTTCAATACAAACTAGTGTGTGTGTGCTTTATGATTCTTGCTGAATGACTAAAAAAGTGTGTGTTGCTGTCATCAATTGTAATGAGATTGAACTGAAAATAAACATTAAATACCATAGTAGTTTATGTCAACTGATGAATTCTTTTCGTTTGATATATATTATTATAAGATTGTACTTTTGACACTTATGTTTGGTTTGAACTGACAGCCCTTACTTAATAGATTAATATCAACTTGGGTTATCTACACTTGGCCAAGCTGGTACATAAAAACAGATGTAGACTGCACCTGCAGAGGGACTGCGGTAGACAAGTTTCAGACATCTGATTGTGACCGTCTTTATCATACCATTCATCTGTTGGTTGCAGGTTCAAGGCAGTCACTTGGGGCAGTCACCAAGTACAGGCTGCTATTTGTGGTTTTTCTCTGGGAACTCCCATTTCTATCTACTGCCCAAACCTGGCATGTCCTTCAATCTCTGGCTGTCATTAGGATGTAAAGCAACAATAAACCAAATTGCATCTGCCATGTATAGGATATTATAGATTTGTTTATTCGTTAATCCATCCATATCTTCTGTTTTGCTCATGCCCAAGGCAATTATGAACATGTGTATGTGCTGAATGGTCAAAGAAAGTGCATTAGATTAAAAACAGAAATTATCAATTGTCACCGATACAGATAATAATTTTTGGTTGGGTGAATGAGGAGACCAGTGTTTCAACAAGAGGCTCTGTGTCCATGGGTCCCATCTCAGTTAGTTTGCCTGTCAATGCAGAATATTGCCTATTTTGTCAGAAAGAGAAAAAATGCATCACTGTCAAAGTTTCATTCTCTCGTTCACATTTATATGTGGTTCAAGCAACATCCATATCGAGCCAAGGTGTGAGATGGGGAGAGAAACATAGGTTTACGATCAGGCTTTTTTTAACTACTAGTGTAATAAAGCTAAATTTTCGATAATCAAATGTCCACTGGTTGGTTTGGTGATGGAACAACAATGGCTTTTGTGTGAGTGAACAGGCAAGATCTTTATCCATCAGACAGATTATTGATAGGGCTAGGTGGTAGGTATGCCCTCCATGGACCCCAAGGAAGACATCACTACAAAGTCATTGATATGTATCCCATTGGGCATTTCAGCATTCCAAATACTCCATCGGACCATTTGGTAAAACAGAATTTGTGTAATTTGATCAATAACATTGAGTGAACATGAAGGTAAAAGTTCGAAAATCTTCCTAAGATTTTTTTCTTTTTCCAATCATTAAGGCATAAATGATGTTTTTTTAATATTTTGCCCCAAACTGGATCATCATTCTGTGGAATAGGATTCTCCATATTTAGACACAAAAAAAACATAGTGAGCTGCACCAGAGGTGAGCTGAGACAACATGTGGAGTGTTTACCAGAAAGTCATGGCTACTGAGATTTTCTTGGGGACAATGAGGTTGGTGATAGAGGCATTGTAACCATTTCCAGTTGTCAATATGACCTAAAAAGAGCTTATACCACATTTTATTCCTTACGTTAATGTTTTAGCAATCTGGACATATATTTAACCAATATACAAAACTTCACAAAGTGTGTAAGAAAACTTCCCCCTAGTAGCCCTCTGTTCAACATTAAAGCAAAAGACACCAATAACATGTATCTCACAGACTTGGATATTAATAATATTGGACAAATGTATCATATGGATGCATGGCTGCGTTGTTGCACAAAGGTCAGAAGTGACAAATGTGCTAAAATCTTCAAACAACATTTCTCAGTTACTAAAAGGCTAAAGGTGTTGAAGATAATGCTAGAATTGATGACATTGCCCCAGGTAAGAAAGTTCATACTCTTTAATTAACTTCTGTGTATACAGGATGATTATTTCCACAATATTAGGCTTATTGCTTGATGAATGCAAGATAAAACATGATATAAAAACTGGTCGATATTTGGATTCATTCAGTATAAACACGATAGATGAATAATGTGGCCGTAGTTTTTATGAATAGCTTCAATGGAATTATATTTGCCAATTTGTCTTCTTTTGCTCGCAGCTTTCAACCCAACTCTTTGAGACTTGGTGTGCTTTACCTCCAAAGCATACAGCACTGTTTTTCCTCGAGGTATTTTTGCGAATATTTCCGTTCCCATATTCGTATTCATTTGGATACAATAACGTATTTCATTGGCATGGAATTGGCGCATATTGTTCCATAAGTTGGTCCAGATGAATGACAATGACCCACTCAGAGTGTCAAATGTATAACACCTACAAACGATTTCTTTATAACCATGGGAACAGGGCTTCAAGTATTGGATCAGCAGCATACTGGGGTGAAAGACAACTTGGTTATTCAAATCAATTTCCTTCACCACCTTTTTAGGTCGAAGTGAACAAATATGTCAAAATCTGTTTTCGATATTTTCATAACCAGTGGCTCAATCAAGATGTTGGGACAGTGATATGATGGAATGGATGGCGTTGCTCAAGTTAATTAGTTACAGGGTAAAATGTGCACAGAACGTCTTCCCTCCAATCAACCAGTAGGCTCATGGTAATGGTATTTGTGTAGTTGTGTGCTTTGACGATGGACTAGCAATGGCAAGTTTGCAGAAATTGCCGTAATTCGAATAGGCGTCAGAGCAATTCCATTCAATGGTCCTCTTATACTTATTCAGTTCACAGTTCAAATAATTACAATGTATATATGTACTGAACCGGAAAACATGCTGAGGTAAAAATAAATTTTAATTAATTGTGATCCTTTATGATTCATACGCTCTATCTCTAGACTATAGTCTATATGTCCTACACTTGCAGAAAATTGCCACAGGATACACACAATTATTACAGTGTATATATAAGTAAGCATCATAATCGACATATTTAAAAACAAGTTCTGCATCTCGCTGGACTGCTGTGACTAACAGACACACTTACCCTTCAAACAAATAATATTTACCATTATGTATTAACATTTCTTCTTCCGTTCTGACTCGTATCAAGCGCAGCTGACCATGACTTTGCTTTGGACACACATTAATTCCCAAACCTTTTCTTGATATTATACATATGGTTTATAACCGCTTCTGAAGGACAAGTAAGCGGAAAGAACATGTAAAAAACGTTTGAATGGAAAATATTTCCCGGAATATGTGAATATACCCATGAAATTGATATAAAACAATCATGTAATCTATGTTTGAAGCAAATCTAGTTCTTGATTCAATGTTAAGTGACTTGGCTATCTGCCTAAAATCAACCTCTAATCTAATAAGACGTTGTATTAAAATATAACAAAAAAAGAAAGAAAAAAAACAGACCAGGTAATCCTTCTTACGAGACAATTTGTTTCTCTTTACATTCAGTGCGCTTTTGTTACTGTGTGATTTCGCGGGGCTGAAAAAGAAACTATGAATGTTTCAGTTAAGTTGATAATCTAATCTCGAAATTATCTGAAATCGCACAGAAAGTCAAAATCACCTACAACAAGCAAATTCGTGGAATTTATATCCCCCGCTTTCCAAACATATTGTAAGTAAATAGTTTAGAGGTTAGGAGTTAACATGTCATAATGCTATGTAGAATGATATAGTTTAATGATAAACTGATAATATTTGTGGCACTTCAAGTTACATTTAAATCAGATTATATTTAGGAAAGTTAGAGCACAAAAACTGACCGACCAAAGAAATGAAAGGATACCTCATTAGTATGCATAATTATCAACAGATGATAGTCAAACTCAGTCTCAATGAACCCAAGATGCATCTGCTGACCAAGTTTCACCGAAATTGGATGACATTTGGGGAAGTTAGAACATGGAAACGAAAGTGTGGCAGACAGGCGGACGGACGGACGGACGGACAAATCCAAATTAATATCCCCCGTTTCGGTGAAAGTGGGGGATAAAATTTACTCCTTAAAATAACCAAATGAACTAATCATTGAAAACTGAATGCAAGAAACAAATGAATTAAGAGACAGCAGTGCCAACAATAACACCAACTATAGAATATTTAAACATGAATACATTAAAGAAACATCATCAGTGTGACAAGTATAATAAGGTATTCGTCAGATCTGGAATCATTTTCAGAATTTGCTTTTTTGTCATTTTACTATTCAGCAGTGTAAGTGATGTCTCATAATTTTGCTCTTTTCGACACCTAGCAATTGGCTGGTCATTTCCGTGTTTTTTGTGATAATACTAGATAGCATTGTTACTGATGCCTGAGGCTTGGATTTCCAGCTTGTCATTGTCTTGGACTTTGTCAATGAGTTCATCAGACCATGTTTTACCTCAGGTATTTTTGCTCTTTAAGATACCTTAGCCAACGTCTTTTTCACATATTTGAATGTATGTCAGGCATCACTTCATCGTTTGATAGTCCCTCAGTTATTGTTATTAACTTTATGGTTACGTTCTTGTTGATACAGTGTTTCAGTTCCAACCGCTCATGTCTTGGTGTCACAATATTGACATCCCTTGTTACATTAATTCACTGAAGTACTTTATTATGTGTATGTTCTCCAATAGCCTCTTTTCGCCAGCCATGCCTAGCATCTATCATTTCGATGCCCAGAAGGTCATTTGATTTGAGGAAAAGTCACTCTCCAAGCCTTAGTTACTGGGAAGTTGTGGCAGGATAAACAAGACCAATGAGAGAAAATATATGAAGAGCCCATTTGCAGAATGATCAGAGTCACAAGTTTTGAAAACTGAGAAAAACGGATTTTAATTTTCAAAACGCTCTGTGACTATTGTGTTACATATTTGACTTCCTTCAATATAATCAGTCAGAGGTTTCCTTATGAAAGGGTAACACTATGTATTTTCATTCAATTTAGAATGATACTAATAATGTTTTTTTGTTATTTTTTTTTTTTCGTACATGGTATGGACCCGGATCTTTTTTGCCATTATAATTTTTCAGTTAACATGTTGGACGTTAAACCAATGCGTCCTGTGTGAAGGTGCTCTCCCCTATGTACGGCAAAGTGTCCTGGTAAAGGTTCTCTGCTCCGTTTACCCTTTTCTGTTTTAATTTGAATGAAAGTAGCTGTTGATTGGCAGTAAAACAAAAAACAAAAACACAAAAAGCAACAAAAAACAAAACAAACAAAAAAAGAAACACAGTCAACTTGATACACACGGTCTTTATTGTTTTTTAATATAAGACACAATTCAGATATTCTACTTATTAGTTACAGTCCTATTCAGAAATTACAGTCCCATTCAGAATTGGACTCATCGGCATTGCCATCATAAGCAAGTTGTGAGCAGAATGTCCGTGCTTCAGGTTTGCAAAAGTTTTTCAATGTTCGCAAGTCATTGAACTTAGCTTGTTTGATTTTCAGCGCTCCATTGTATAATGGAATCAATTGCTTAAAAACTTTCCTTTTATTTAGTGATCTTCCTCTTTTTTGTTAGGACTGTCCATGTTCCATTCCATGATTCTCTGTGCTTGATCAAGTGGTGTTGCCAGACTTCAAATGATATTTCCAGAACAGGCCTCGTTGGAAAGGGGCATGATGTTTTATATATATCCTCCGTGGCAAATTGTTGAGAAAAAATGAAGAATTGGGATTTCTTACACTCAATGACATTGAATGGGCAAGGTTTCTTTCTGCAAACATGTAGTTGCTTCCACCAGTCTTGTGGAACTTCGGCCAGTGCTTTGGTGTTCAACAGTTCAATTTTTTGTCACATGCCATGTAAGAATGACCTGAGAGATAAGCATCCTGTTCATTTTTGCTTTTATAATCATTGTTAAAGGCCAGAATGAGGTCATCACGTTCATCAGATGTAATGTTAATAAAGCATTGATAACGTTTGCACCTGCAACATTACCAGCAATGTGACAACTTAACCTCTGTTTCTTTTGCTTTTCTCTTTTGGAACCCAGTGATTTCCTTTTCTTCGGCTTGGAAGTCACTACCGGATGCTCATATTCATCTGAATTGCTCTCCTTTGTGTTAGATGCCATTTTCGTCACAAAACGCAGGAGGAAAAAACAGCATGCAACTAGCTGCCATTACTATGTGTTGATTGGATGAATAAGTCACATGATTGGACCCTGATCATTTTTCCATTCCAGGATGTGGACTCTGATCATTTTACCAAAGTATAGGATATTTCATGCAACTGCTATTAACGGATCTTGATTATTTTAACACAAGAAATTATGTAGACATAAACTACATGGTATGAGCTATCAGATGATGAGCTTAGTTGAATTTCCCCCAAAATGTGACTCTGATCGTTCTGCAAATGAACCCTCATATCTTAGTGGTCAATCAAGAACAAAACAACACTATTTGTCATTTGTTTACACTTTATGGATGGGATTTAAAAGAGGAAGAGTATCCTGGTAATGGTACTTATAAATTTGAGAGCAGTGTAAACCAGCAATGACTGACTTTGAATGCATCACAGATGAAAATGAAACAAAAAACAACGCATTTGAAGAAGGGGAATATGAGAAATTTATTGTTGAAAAACGCGACTGATCTAAACAATTTTCCGCGATTTTGATCGGCGTGGTTTTGCGTTTGTAGGTCTGACTGTTTTTGACTGTAGTGTGCAGAAGGAATAATGCCTCTGGACATAACCACCAAAATGATGATAAGGTTGGAACATCGTTTACTCTGCATTCGTGATCAGGATCATAGCAACATCACCATATGTGAAATTCTGGCATCAAAGGTGAGGCAAATTAATATTTCAAATTTGATCGACAGCGATAAAATGTACTTACAAATTATTAAATCAGATAACATATATTTTTTTTACAGAAAGGAAATAATAAGCATATTTAGATTCCTACAAAGAACATCAGTGCTGATGACAAAATCGGCGTCAAATATTTAAAGAAAAAAATCTTGAATTTTACTTAGAAACCTTCTCAGAAGCGAAGGCAGTCAATTTTTGAATTTTCTACCATTTGCCTTAGTTGTTCTCATTGCCTTTAAGAATTACAGTTCATGAAAAATAAACAGAATTACTCAGATTTACTATAAGAAAGCAAATAAACTAGGTACAATATTGTGCAACTCCAATACCTTATGATAATTTAGTGTAGTAGGCGTTAGTTTCTGTTAAATATTTATTAAATTTCGTATCATTATACACTTTGAGACTACATAGGTTAGGAGCTCACATCCACATCTACCAGTCAACGAAGAAAATGCCTATCTAAGTGCAACAACATGTACAAACAATACAGGAAAATATAAGAGGGCCATAGGGCATACATCCTTCATCTGGTTAGTTCAGCTTTTCATTCACTTAACAAAGAACTTTAAAAATGAAGAATGATTTCTGAAATAATTTTACTTTTCGGCAACGAGATCAAGTCAGAACCATTATTTCTACAAAATTGAGATGAATTCTCCAAGGAATTCTTCAAACCACACTTGGACAATGTCCTTGAAGGATTTTAAGACCTAGCTACGTGTATCCTTTCAGGCACCACACCTCTGGTCACAGACTCCTGCTTTATACAAATTTGGGATCTTTCATCAAGGTCAGGTATTATCAAGATCAATTTGGGACAGAATCAAGGCACTTCCACAAACAAATTGTGGAGAAGAATTTTACAAATTTTGCTCTATTTCCGTCCTTGGACCTCACCCCCTCCCAACCTGTGGGGGTAGAGAGAGATCATTTATGCAATACTTATTCCTCTTAAGGATGTTCTCAGACCAAATTGTGACAGATTCTTGAAATTTACACAGAACAAGGATTCAAAACAATTTCCTCTCGGAGGCCGACATCAACCGTTTATGCAAAAGTGATATTCCAAGTGTTTGCTCTATTTCCTTTATTTGGCCCTCCACGGGGCTCCTGATTCCTTTTTTTTCAAAATTGATGTCCATTCACCCACCAATGTTTTAGACAAAAAGAGTCCTGGCATTTCTACAAAGGAAGGGTTAAGATAATTTGCCTTTTTTCTCCTTATTCGGAACCGTCCCTTCCAACTCAGAAGAAGGGGTGGGGATGGAGACCCATAAGTTTTACAAATCTGTTTCTTCGAGTCGAATTCGCTCTATTTCTCCTATCGAACCTGTCCCTCCCCTCCCAAGGGACCAAAACCGACCGATTATACAATATTGATTCTTCTTCAATGAAACATACTTCAAATCCTGGCATTTGTAAAGATGGAGGATTTGGTAAAAAAAAAAAAACCAACTATTTCTCCTATCTGGGTCCAACCCAACCGCCCCAGAAGCCGAGACCAATCACGTGTCGTTTATGACTAATTGGATTTTTTGGGGAAATGTTAACGAACGAATGACAAACGACGGATGCCTCTGTATAATATAAGCACACAAGTCCTTCGGACCAGGTGACCTCAAGACACTTACAGACATGGTAAAACTGACACACAATTTATTACTTAAAATTCTTTTATTTTGTATTTCAAAATGTTTTAATCTGGTATTCGTCTTTATGAATGTCAATAATAACATTATTTCTATATGGTTTTATTCATTAGTCCTGTGTCTGATGTGATGACTGCAGGTGGTCCAACTGAGCCATCAATGCAGTAGAGAATTCCTGCGGGCAGTTTTTCTCTTTTTCATGTATCTTTACGTGGCGTCTTAGGTCTGCTGACTGTCTAAATTCTTTACTACATATATCACACTTGTATGGCGTCTCTCCGGTATGTACCCTTCGGTGATGTTGCAATTTAGAATTTTCACTAAACGCCCTGCTACATATATCACACTTGTAAGGATTTTCCCCTGTATGTACCCTTCGGTGATTTTGTAATCTAAAATTTTCACTAAACGCCTTGCTACATACATCACAATTGTATGGTTTTTCCCCTGTATGCATCCTTAGATGTCGATAAAATGTAGAATTTTCATTAAAAGACTTATTACATATATCACACTCATACGGTTTCTCTCCTGTATGCACCCTTCGGTGATGTTGTAATTTAGAACTTTCACTAAAAGCCCTGCTACATATATCACACTTGTAAGGTTTCTCTCCTGTATGTACCTTTCTGTGATTTTGTAATTTAAAATTTTCACTAAACGCTCTGCTACATATATCACACTTGTAAGGTTTCTCTCCTCTATGTACCCTTCGGTGTCTATACAAGGTAGAGTTATCACTAAACGGTTTACTACAGATATCGCATGTGTAAGGTTTATCTCCCGTATGTACTCTGAGATGCTTTTTTAAACTATATAACTGACTAAATTCTTTCTTACACATACCGCACGTGTATGGTTTCTCTCTTGTATGTATCGATTGGTGCCTCTTTAAATTACTTGGATTATTAAACGCTGTTTCTCTCCTGTATGTATCAGAATGTGTTTTTAAGGTCACATGAACTATTAAACCGTTTTTCACATTCACTACATTTGTAGGGATATACCTTTGTATGTGACTTGAGCTGTGACTGCAGACAAGGCGAGTCATCAAATACTTCATTACACATATCATGCTTATGGGCCTTTTCTGTAGTATTCATTATTGTCTGCTTAGTTTGTCACGAAATCGTTGTCTTACGATTGGATGTTTTGTTCCCACTGTGCTACATTTTGATATGAACTTTTTTGCTATTTCCAGTCTTGAACTCTTGTACAATTCTTCTGTGAAGCGTTCGGTTCTTTGCTCTGACGCTTGGTATTCAAGTGCATTAATCATGTTCTGAAAGTAAAATGAAACAAACGGAAAGAATTCTTTCGTCTGTCTTAATACATGTACTCTTTTATCTTAAAATGCTATTCTATGGCTATGTTTTCGTAACTCTTTATACATTGACCATTTCACTTAAAATTGTCCAAAACTTTACACTCCTTTGAAAAGTATTTAGCGTTGTATTCTTTTTTGAATGGATATATGCATTTTACAAGTCAACTGATTTACAGAAGTCATGAAAAAAATGTGTTTTTTACCATTCTAAGGTTTGAGGCTGTTAAAGAGAACCTCACACTTATCACACTTTGAAGTGCAAAAACCACATGTATCTAATATACCTATTGTGTAATTTTTAGTATAGAAAATGAACAGAACAGCACAGAACAGATTTGACAAAATATTCCCAAGAAGTCTTAGGTTGAAAACTACGTTGATCTATCAATATTGCTTTAAAGCAATTAAACATTCAAAATACTTCTGTGGGGTCAGCAACACTATCAATTGTGGGTGTGTTCTCCATTGACCCCAATAACGGCACGACATCAGCTTGGCATGCTGCGAATCAGGCCATACTTGACGAAGAGTGACAGGAAGCTGTGGGCAATTGGTAATACATTGCTGTAACATGGCCACGCATGCTCGACCAGGTTAAGGGCGGATGGAAGATTAGTCCAGTCTGTACGCTTGATAGTTTGTGTATGTCTAGCACAGGTCTAGCTCTATTTAGTCGAGCAATATCGTCCAACAGTACAAACTCAGGGCCGACATCACCCGCAAAGGGTCTTACAATAGGACAAAGGATATCAACACAGTACCGTAAAACTGTGAGACTACTACCTTCAATAACGTACAAGTCAGTCCGACCATGAAAAATTAACTCTGCCCAAGCTATTACCAAGCCCCCACAGAAACGGTCATTCTCAGTAATGCAGCAGTCAGCATATCTCTCGCCCACCACACGCCAAACACACCTTCTGCCATCATGTAATTCCACACAAAACCTGGACCCATCCGTAAAAGGAATAGGCCACCACTGACGCAGTCGCCGATTCACATGGCGTATCGCGGATCTGTTAGCGTATAATTCAGAGCTGTGGAGTCTATTCCTCACCGCTTTTGCAGAAAATCTCCTTTCACTTGCTTGACGGAGTCGTACAACGTGGTCTACTCGATTTCTCGGTGTCGCTTCCGGCCATCGGGAATATATTCTATAATCGAGAAATGACAGTCTGTGACACATTGAAATATTTATATTTCCACTAAACCCGGATACAATTAACCTACCAAAGTTTATTCAAGTCATTTTTCAATATACTGGCGTATGAATACATTTTTCATTCCAAAGTTGGGGTTGCCACCCTTGCATTTCTTCACATTTCCTACAGATGTGATTTTGTTTAAAATATTACATTAAAATAGTCTTTAATTATTGGAAAAATGTATATGATATTTCAAAACAAATCTGTCACAATAATAATAAAACAACTGATTGGAGAAAAAACACGTTTTGGTGTTATTCATGCAGTGTCGTCTGCTTAGTTAAAATGTCAAACTTTGGGAATTTTGAATTTCTCAGCGAAATACAGGATTTCGATGGAACTCCAGATTCATCATCAACTTTGAATTTGTTAGATTCTGACAATAAATTTCTGGTGAGCATTTGAATGCCTGGTAATGTTATTGAAGAAACAAAAGACAAATGATCTGATGAATTGTTCTATCCCACGCCGTAGGCCGCCATGTTGTTTTTCAAATATGGCCTTTTTTACCGTCACTAACCTGAAATTGCTCCGCGGAGTATCAGAATATAAAGTTACTATTTCATAAAATAAAATTAATTTTAAATTATCTTAGCTTGAAACGATTCAATTCTGTTTTTGTGTTATTATTCTGAATATAACAACTATATTTAGATGAAGAGTGACGACGCACATTTCGGCAGGGACGTACAGATGTATTATATTTCGGTAAGTTCCGAGGTAGACTTGCACAAGTCCCTATTTATCATAATCTTGCAGGAATGCTTAAATTATACAAAATATATACATATAAACATAAGGATTGAATTATGTTATGTTGAACTTCGCAGTTCATAAAATTTGTCCCAAGACCTATTGAGGTTCATTCCCTCATAAACCTCAACATAACATGATTCAATCCTTAAGTGTGCAGCCACAGTTCGTTGTGATTGTCCTGCTAGAAGCATCCAGACTGCTCGGTCAGCCACTGTAGCTGATATGTGACTTCCCATGCTACCAAATGTTCAAAACAAGGTGAAAATATCAAGCATATATGACATGTTTGATTTTCAGACATGACTAATGGTACAATCACATGAAAATATAGCAGTCTTGACAAACTGTGTGGTATTATTAATAATAATAATAATTCTGGACGCAGGCTTTTAAAGCCTATATATTTCCATATCTGTGTTATCAAGTTTCCCGAAGATGAATAAGTTTGTTATTGTCTATTTCAAGACTGTAAATGCAATCGGAATTACTCCAATGTTTATCCAATCGGGATTCAAATTATTCAATGCTCAATGAATTTTATCGATGTGTATGTATACAGGTACCACTTTTTGAAACAAATATCAACAGAACGAAACTATCTACATTATGTTCTCAAGGAAATCATACGCCCGAGTCATACACAATACCTTAGGTGAAGACCTGAGGTGTGGTTCGACACTACCTACATGTACATGTAACGGTTCGCTTTTCTCGGTAATCTGAGAAACGAACCGGCCTGGGCTATCGTAGTTGTGTCCTTGGGCGAGACATTTAACCTAATTGTTCTCTATGGCACGCGTTGGGTCTACCGTATATGTTTTTGGTGAGGTTGCCACTAGCTATTACAAGGGCACTCCACCTCAAAATGACCTTGACTGTTCATGAGGCGATAATGTCACTGGCACACACTTTGGCTCTAACTCAACGCAACATGTACATGTAACTCGAGACTACAGTTTTGGTATATGTGGGGAGGGCACAAGTAGATATGATAAATTTTAAAAACATGTATATATGAAGAGAGAGCATTTCCATTGTTTTCCTGCTTTTAAAAAATTCCAGACTTCACAAACATTAGACGTTTTTCTTTCTTACATTATGTTATAAACTGTTGGATTCCAAGCATAAGTAAAACCATGGTAAAAGTCAGATAGTTTATTTGTAATATTTTTTTTAAATGATAAATAAAACGAGTAAGTTTTAATTTCAAGAAAACTTAACTTTCACTTTTATCAAATTCAATTTAAAGAAAGTTATAATTGGTGCATTCGTTTGGTCTATCACTGTTCACTGTCTATAGTATATTAATGGTAAACTGACATTTCTAGAATGGAACTCTTTTCGGTGTTTAGGAATACCATTGCAGTCCACTCCGGTAATTAGAACTCCCTAGATATTGCGACACGTTACTGTTTGCTGCGCCCCAGTGTGATCGGTTTAGTTTCTTGTCTTTCAATACTGGTACTCCAGTATAATAGTTTCATTGTCGTTAACTGCGTCTAATTTTATACAAGGGAAATTAATGGGTTCTATATGAGCGTAGAACAGCGACGGGGAAAAACACACATCCACCGGCTTCATTTTACATGTAAAAATACACACCGACTGTCTTCTCTTCTGCGTTATGTACTTACAGCTATAGTAGTTTCCTTGTTATACCACACTCACATCAGCGTATTGCAAGACTAGTTGAATAGCGGTAAGAGTTGATCACAATATGAGAGATCCCCGTGATCAGCGATTGTCTTTTAAATCGATTGCGCTAAAATCCGGAATTGAGACCTTAATAGAACGGAATATACCAATATGATGAAACATTGTTTTTTCTCCGTTGCGAGAGGATTGGCAGAACATTGTAAGGTATTCTTAGATTGAAAAATACATTATATGTCATATATGTAAGTTGACTTCAAAGTGATTCAGTTTGAAGGTCACACCTGGGACTACCAACCCTAGTCTACTTTCCTATAGACTGGCTAGCCGTTTTGGGGCTGATAAAAAATATATATCTACTGTCAGCTATTTGGACCATTTGCATCACTGATACCAACCATTTCACCCTCGATATGGTTATTCAATAGCATTTAGGATAAAGTAAGGCTCTTGTAAATATATGTCTTAGAAAACTGAGAAAGCGAACGACAAAATAGACTACATAGATAAATTTGAAGAGACAAAATATTCGGAGTATATGTATACATTTAAGCATTCTATAATAGGTAGTCTATAAACTTACATAACACTATATGTCTGTGTTAAAATTGTCTTCCACGATGGTTAAGTTTATCTACTTTAAAGAAATACCACGTATCATAGATATTATCTATAATTCACAATCTCTATCCGTGCAGGAAGAACGCATTATTGTTGCCTTAAGCTTTATCAAATGATTTTCTTTCATTGTGATTTATCATCGTTTTAAAGCTGAGAACAATAAAATAACCAAACGCCACGTGAACCTTTCTAACATACATGTTTAATCTTAAAGTGTCTTTTTAGACCGATTGGTGGCGTAACAATTGCTTCTTCAGCTTTGTAATCAAAGAAAAGGACCGACAGTAAAGGAACTATTGTTGTTTCCCAAGTATTTATATAAAATAGACAAGCATCATGCATATCATATTTCAACCATGATCGAATATCATAAGTGAGGTTTTCATAACAAAACTTTAAGTATATATTCTTACATCATAATCGGTTTAAAGAACATTTCCAGGTTGAGGCTATATTGCTTTAAAAAGTTATAGAAATAATAATTATAAAACCAAACACAATTTTTTAAAGTATGGCGTATAAAAGAAAAGCAGACATGTTTGTCTATGGGAGGAAAGGAAAACAATGGGGATCAAGGTCGTTTGGATGGACCATTTCTTATGAAACCAGTAAAAGCTACACAGATACAGTGATTTCATACTGATTATGAAATGAGGTTTAGTTCCCAGCAAAATTCCAATTGATCCATTCTATTCGGCTGTGGTTATAAAAAACTCGGGTCGATGAGCTGGTAGATTGAAATAAATCCAACACGAAGTCGATTTGTCATTAAACAAAGACATTTAAAATTATGAGTATGAAAGGATGTTCCATACTCAACGCTATACAATTTTTTATAAAAAGTTTTGTGATGTCAATATCAAAAATGACCTTCATATCCCATCCAAGCGCTTTCTTTCCATTACTGAAATAGCCTTGTTCTTCAGTTCTCAAAACATTGTTTTTCATGAACGGTTTATATTCGGAACCTCTTTGATGACACCGCAACAATAGAAACATTATCTATATTTATACCTTGTAACTTGATTGTTATTTGAGTGGTTTTACATTTAGCTCAATACCCCGGCAGGCGGAAATGTCTTCAAATGTTAAATATTTATCATTTACATAAGATTACATTACAACCTCCAAGCGATTTGGATTTCCTTTTTTTTTTTTTTTTTTCTTTTTGTTTCATTTCTAATAGACAGAATTTATCGATTCTTTTTTACAAATATAAAAGTCTGTGAATATTTTCTGATAGCTCGCACATCAAAACTATCCTTGGTCAGGTAATATTGATAACGATTCGGAGCATCATTCTCAATACGATGAAACAACAAGTAAGCAATTATCAGACATCTTGATGAAAACGGGATATTTTATTACAAACAAGCCATTAATTGCACTCGGTAAGTCTGAACGCTCTATTTTTACATGTAATTGTGAAAGATTACAACGTAGGTGATTTCGGAAGTCTTAGCTATCACTGTCATGTTTAAAATCTGATATGACCTATTCATCTTCTAGATTTGAAGCAATATTGCAATTTGCATTTCATTTCATAATTAAATGGATGTGTATATATATCATACTTTCTGTCATTTCTTCTTTCGATTTAGAAACTGTAAACGTACATGTTTCAGAGGTAATTCTATTTTACTGAAATATGATTGCGATAATTGCAGTTACTGTATGTAGTTAATATAGCAATTATTGTGGTTGCGGTCAATCATCATTGCGCTAATTAAGAAAATGATAATGCGCTAAAATCGTATAGGGCTAAATCAAATAAGTTGACAATGTTTTTTACAAATTGCCTTCCAATCTATAATCTTGGGAATCCTTACGTAAACATTTTCAAGCTGTCGATTATCTGTCTATCCGGTAAGTACACAGTAACACTAAACTTTCATTTAAGTGCACATCATATTAAATGATATAAAGATTAGTTATCCAAAATGCAAAAATAACAGAAAATAACATTAGAATTTCAGCACGTTTGATATCTGTTATCTATATTATCTACCTGTAGAATTAGAGAAACATTTTGATGAGTTAGTTGGGTTGAATTAGCAGAAAGCACAGGCAATGGGACCATATAATCTCCTTATTCTGCTTCCGTAGCTAGCTACTTTTTAACCTCCTCGTTCACTCCCATGCTTTTATATGTTGTTTAGAGACAAAGAAGAATATCAGGTGAATGATATGACTCTGGAAACAAGATGATTCTGACTGAAGTGTCGAAAGTCGTGTTGTTAAATACACCAGAATTACTTTTGTATGATAAAGCATTTAAAGGTCATATTAGTGCGTATTCTTTTAGTTTACATTCATTCCGAAAACGTTTGTACAACACACTTATACATTGTATCTAAATGTGTGTCTCAACTGGAAGACTTAATTTTTGCTTGTATAGAAAGCTGCATGTACAGAAGATCTCATCAAAAACAGGACGCAAAGCCTATGCGAAAACTTCATTTTAACCTTACGATGTGCTAATGATACTTCATCTTCAAATGGCAAGATCTTTATGATTGGAAATATGTATAAACCCATCAAAATCGGACACAATCAAATGGTTTACACCCACCGCGTACCTCTTTCTTATATTATAATTAAACAAACGAATAGTTTGCAAAAATCTATACGAGAACTTGATGATATTGGTTTCCATGTTGTGAATTTTTTCCATTTCTAGATAACATGTCAGCTTCATCTATGTATATGTTTTGTCGTTGTTGATTCGATATTTTAGGACTTGTGTCAGATATAATGATTTCCGTTGGTAACAGCCGACACAAAAACCTACCACCTGCATTAAAGGAATGTAGATTGAAGAAGACTTTGGGAAACTTGATGATCACCACTATGGTCTTATTGGGATGATATTTCCTTGTGCAGCATCAAGGTAGACGTTTTCATTGATCGTTAACATTCCTGCTAAATTCGTTACCCTGTTTACCATTTTTTTCTTTGATCAGGGTTGTCCAAAATTGACATGATGGGTATTGTCAATGAAACAGAAGACGCTTGTTGATCTGGAACACCTTGTCTTATTCTTTCAGTAGATTTTCCGAATTTATATTCCTTTGTTCCTAATTTGTCCACGTTTTCTGTCAAGTACAAAGAGCGTTTGCATTCCTTTTTCAGATATACATCATGATTGACGCAAGACCTATATTGTTTATGGTTCTAATATACAATGCAAAGCAGTCGGTACTGGGAGACGTAGGGACGATGGACGACTGGATCAGACTGACTAATACACTGTTTTCTAACTACACAAAGGAGATTTTCCCCGTGTACAACTTCAGTGACACACTGAATATAGATATATCAATGTTTTTACTATCTATTATTGACTTTGATGAAGTTTCTGGTGTCATCACGTTAAGTGCTGGCATTATGTTAGATTGGAATGATTATCGTCTACAGTGGACACCAAGCGAGTACGGAGGGATGGAAACTCTACAAGTGAATTCTTCAAACGTCTGGACACCAAAGGTTTACGTAATCACAGCTGCCGATGACCTTCGCCATTTTGGCAGCGGCGAATTTGGCGTAGATATTTCGTATTCTGGTCGCTGTGACTATACCCCGGGGAAACTTTTGAAATCTACCTGTTCCGTTGATATGTCAAAGTTTCCATTGGATACCCAGATATGCAACATAGAGATGATGCTTTGGAAATCTCCGCCTACTTTGAATCTTTCCTTTACTAGAACGGATATATTGATGAACTGGTATACAACGAATGGAGAATGGAATATTGATAAGACAAACGTGTCTTATTTCATGGGTTATGGGTCACCCTCAAGGACTCTCTATTTTACACTTCAAATGTCTCGACGATACATATACTTCGTGGTATCAATGACAATGCCGATTCTATTGTTATGTTTTCTCAATCCGTTCGTGTTCCTCCTGCCGTCTTCCTCGGGAGAGAGGATATCCTACACTATCACGATGTTCCTGTCACTTGCTGTCTACATGACACTCATAGGAGATATTCTCCCTAAAGTGTCAGAAAACATGGCTGGGATGTCGTATTTCTTGCTGATAACCTTATTCTACAGCGGTATGTTGATCGTTCTGACGATATTCACACTTCGTTGTGAAGCTGCCGCAGACGTCAAAGAGTTTCCAAGATGGCTGAGAAGACTAACGCGCTATTGCTGTAAGATAAAAGAAACCAAAACTTACAATGCACCACCAATTAAAAATCTGGAGCAGAACAAGAAGGAAGAAAGTGACAAAACGGAGGTAGTTGAACTAGATGCGGAGTATTCACTCGTTAAACACAAGGACGTGATGCGTGTTATTGACAATTTTCTGTTCGGACTCTCTTTGCTATTGATAACCATACTGACAATTTGGTTTATGTGTACCTACCATTCTTAACATCGTAATATTACATCAAGCAGTATTTCAGGAAAATGGAGCATTTTATTTCACAAGGCATTTTGTTAAAGATCACGTGGATAACATGTATGCTCGGTCTCACGAAATCATAGCCTTCATTTTACATGGTTGTGTAACCATTACATTGAGATACAATAGGTTGCATAGCTATCGAGAAACATATGCAAAAACGAGAAGAGGAAGTCAAATATGATAAACAAATATATGTCCGTGGTGTATTAGCTTAAAACATTTATAATCATTAGTACTGTTTATGAGTCTTCTTATGTTTGATTAAATAACATTTAGTAGCATTTCAACATTATGTTCATGAGGCAAAGATATACCAAAAAACAGTGAATCAGCATCGGGTCTGTAGGATGTAGTAGTAATATGTGTTATTCTTGTATGACGCTAATATGTCTATAATGATATAGTATTGATGTGTGTTATTCTTGTATGATGCTAATATATCTATAATTATATAGTATTGATGTGTGTTATTCTTGTATGACGCTAATATGTCTATAATGATATAGTACTGATGTGTGTTATTCTTGTATGACGATAATATATCTATAATGATATAGTATTGATGTGTGTTATTCTTGCATGATGCTAATATATCTATAATGATATAGCATTGGTGTGTGTTATTCTTTTAAGAAGCTAATAAATCTAGAAAGATGTCTCGTTCTGAGGTGTAATATACTTGTATGACGCTAATATATCTAGAATGATGCTGTACTAATGTGTGTTATCTTTGTATGACGCTAATATATCTAAAATGATGTAGTATTGATGTGTGTTATTCTTGCATGAAGCTCTCTCTCTCTCTCTCTCTCTCTCTCTCTCTCTCTCTCTCTCTCTCTCTCTCTCTCTCTCTCTCTCTCTCTCTCTCTCTCTCTCTCTCTCTCTCTCTCTCTCTCTCTCTCTCTCTCTCTCTCTCTCTCTCTCTCTCTCTCTCTCTCTCTCTCTCTCTCTCTCTCTCTCTCTCTCTCTCTCTCTCTCTCTCTCTCTCTCTCTCTCTCTCTCTCTCTCTCTCTCTCTCTCTCTCTCTCTCTCTCTCTCTCTCTCTCTCTCTCTCTCTCTCTCTCTCTCTCTCTCTCTCTCTCTCTCTCTCTCTCTCTCTCTCTCTCTCTCTCTCTCTCTCTCTCTCTCTCTCTCTCTCTCTCTCTCTCTACGGCTGCGTTTAGCGTGGAATTACATGATGGCAGGAGGTGTCTTCGGCGTGTGGTGGGCGAGAGATATGCTGACTGCTGCATTACGGAGAATGACTGTTTCTGCGGGGGCTTGGTAATAGCTTGGGCAGAGTTAATTTTTCATGGTCGGACAGACTTGTACGTTACTGAAGGCAGTAGTCTCACAGGTTTGCGGTACTGTGTTGATATCCTTTGTCCGATTGTAAGACCCTTTGCGGGTAATGTCAGTCCTGAGTTTGTACTGATAGACGACAATGCTCGACCACATAGAGCTAGAATTGTGAACGAGTACCTTCAAGAAGAAACTATTGATCGTATCTACTGGGCTAGTCTTCCATCCGACCTTAACTTGATCAAGCATGCACAAGACATGTTACATTAACGCATCGACAGGAACTTGCTCATGTCCTTCTTCAAGAATGGCCGTGAATTCCAAAAACGACTTTACGGCGCCTGGTTCGCAGCATACAAAGCGGATGTCGTGCCGTTATTGGGATAATTGGAGGACACACTAACCATTGAGAGTGTTGCTGACCCCACTGAAGCATTTTGAATTTTCCGCGCCGTTGGGACTTTAACATTGTTTTGGAAGGATTATGAACTTTTTTATATATACATACACGACACGCTTGCGTGAAATTGATCCAAAATGGGTTAAAACTGTTTTCTAATAGTTTGACTTCACTTTTGTATTTCATATTCCAAGTTGATTTGCCGTTTGATGCAAATAAATTTACTATTAAAATGAGATCACTAACTTTTTGTGTCCAGTATTTTTGTTTCAAGGATGTTCACATGAACATAAACAATAAATGTAATTACAATGTGTTTAAAAAGTTATTTATGGATATACTGAATTTTGAAAATTACTGTGTAGTACTCAATTCTAGAGCCAGTGATCATTATAGTGTGTAGATATTCCCGTTATTCCCTGCCGAGTTTATTTTTTTTTCAAAAACTTGTGTGACGCACGTAGTGCGCATGTGTATTAGATGTCCACATCGTCAGAGGTCAAAAGTTGGGCTTATAGAGAAATTAACATTGGTCTTTTAGATCACGTGTAACCTTTTTATTCATTTTTGATCTAAACTAATGATAATAACTAATCATATCTGTTTCCCATGATAATTGTTTGCTGCTAATTTGTGGTAAATGATCAAATAAGCAAATAAGTTTTTTCTCGAATATTTGTAGCAACACGGATGCAAACACTTGCGACAAATTGATTGCTGACAGAAACATGGATAAATTACAAACTAAGCTGATAAATTGAAAAACAAAAAATTAGCTTCTACTTTATCAAAACGTTTAAAATTTTAGGATCAATCAATATTTCATCATCTGAAAGATTTTATGTTTAATAAAGACATCAAATATGACCAATGATTTCTGATATAATTTTCCGATTAGGCCTCGGTGGCCATTTCGTCTAACAGAAGTCAAATTCACTATTCATGAAAATTCCTCCAGACCCAACTTGGACAATAATCCTTTTATCAAAGGATTTTTAATTAACCTACATTTCCCCTAATTGGGCCCCGCCCCCTATGACTTTGTTTTACTTCACAAAAGGATACTTCTGATCAACCTTGGACAATATCCAACCATTGTGCCCTGTCCCTCCCACCCCAGGGGGCCAGAATCCACTGTTTATACACAATTGATTCCCCTTCACCAAAAATACTTCAAACTAAATTTGGGCAACATTCGTTCCTACAGAAGGAGTAGGATTTTACAGAATTTGCTCGATTTCCACAATTGGGTCCCGCCCTCCCGCCACAGGGGGTCAAGACCTAACGTTTATACAAATATTTATTGCCCTTTCAGTGATTTTTGCCCTATTTTACAGCCAAATAAACAAAAATCGTTTCCCTCAGTCAAAATTGGTGGTATTTTCCAAAGAGGACCAAAATTAATACTTAATTATCCAATTCAATAAGGCTTATGCTGCTGTAAAATCAATGTAGCAAAAACACTGCCTTTACTCAACAATGCTTAAGTCTAAATTTGAGCAAAATGCAAACTTTCTTACAAGAGACGTAGGATTTGCTCTATTTCCCCCAATGAATAGTAGGTCTCACCCCTCCTGAACTAAGGGGCCGATATGTACCGTTTATAAATATAAAACTGATTCCCTTCCAGCCAACAATGTTTCAGACCAAATCCAATCATGCCTACTGTAGGGTTGAAGTGAATTTGTTCTATTACCACTTTTGGGCCCTGCCCCTTCCAACCCAGGTGGGCAGGGACCTACAATTTATACAAAATTGATTCAGCTTTCCCTAGGGATGCTTCTGGCTAAATTTGGTCAACATCATTGTAAATCTGTTGTGACTAGTAGCGATTTGCATGAAAAGGTGACAAATGGATGGACTGATGCTGAATGCTGAAGTATATGCCATAAACTCACTTGGCCGTTTGGACTTTTGAATAAAAAAAATTTAAAGCCTGAATCAAGTCTGTCAATAATTTATTACTTTTAATAAATTTTAAGAACAAACCTTGAACATGTGCTTCTAATTAACCAGAGCTACATACATCCTATTCTTTATATTATAAATCATGTCTATTGTTTGGAAAAAAATGCACATGATCTTCGGTTATTTTGTTTATAGGACGAAATTTCAACTTGATCATTTCAGCATGAGAACTAATTTCACTATAATGCTAACCAACAAACAAAAGTTGTTTTTCCCAATTTCAAAGAATTATTTGCAGCCAGCCGCAATAACCTGTGAATTTATTGCAAACAGAATAGCTTGCAGCGAATTTGCTGCAAACTTTCAATTATGTAGAAGTCTGTTAGTTTTTGGCTGGTCTATGCAATGACATCAAACGCACAAACATTTGTCAGATCAGACTGCTACTATATATTTGACAGAGTACATGTATTAAGCTACTTCCTGATGATAATAATTATCGGGCTCTTACAAATATGTAATCATATGCCTATATATGTCTACTGATATATCAAAAACACTTACTTCCAAAGAACTGCTTCAGAATAAAACTCTTAACACATGTAACTGGCATTTTGAAGCAGTGAATTTCCAGTTATACAAAAGCTATATTCTGAATGGCAATTTTTTCAAAAATTGTGTTTTAACAATATTTCAAGGTAATATGTTAAAAAACAATGACAGCCTTTAAAGAATTCTAGTGACCATTACAGCCCTTGCTCCATGTGTGTATGTCTTCATGTGGCATCGTAGGTCTGCTGACTGACTCCATACTTCACTATAGATATAACATTTGTAGGAGTTTTCGAATGCTAGATGCAACGCCCTTCCATCATCATCTCATTACTGTTTCTCATCTTTGTGCACTATTTTTCATCTTTTTAAGTCACGAATATGAATAAACATCTTGCTATTGTCATCTGATTTGTTGAGCTTCTCTCTCTTATGTACCTTTCGGTGATTTTGTAATTTAGAACTTTCACTAAATGCTTTACTACATATATCACACTTATACGGTTTTTCCCCTGTATGAACCCTTCGGTGTCTATACAGGGCAGAATTTTCACTAAAGGCCTTACTACATATATCACACTCGTAAGGCTTCTCTCCTGTATGTACCCTTCGGTGATTTTGTAATTTAGAACTTTCACTAAACGCCCTGCTACATACATCACACTTGTAAGGCTTTTCCCCTGTATGCACCCTTTGGTGTCTATACAAGGTAGAAAGATCACTAAACGGCTTACTACAGATATCGCATGTGTAAGGTTTATCTCCTGTGTGTACCCTGAGGTGCGTTTTCAGATTATATAACTGACTAAATTCCTTCTTACATGTACCGCATTTGTATGGCTTCTCTCCTGTATGTATCGCTTGGTGTCGCTTTAAATTACATGGATAATTAAACGCTTTTCCACAAACATCACATTTGTAAGGTCTCTCTCCTGTATGTATCAGAAGGTGATTTTTAAGATCAGATGAGCTACTAAACCCTTTTTTACATTCACCACACGTGTAGCGATATGCCCCTGTATGTGTCCGTAGATGGGTATTCAGACTTCCTGAACTACTAAAACTCTTTTTACATTCACCACAAGTATAGGGATGTACCCCTGTATGTGTCTGTACATGTTTCCGTAGCATACTAATTAAAAGATCACTAAAGATCTTTCCACACAGATCACATGTGTAGTGTGTCTCTCCAGTGTCCGTCCCGAGATGTATCTTCAAGAAGTGAGTCTTGAGATGAGTATGTAGACTTTCCTGATTATAAAATCCATGATGACAAACATCACACTTGTAGGTTTTTCCTCTTTCATGTTTTATCCTGAGGTGTGTTCTCATGTCTCTTTCTGTTGTGTACATACTACCACAGACATCACAAACATAGTTTTTTTCTTTGGTATGTTTTCTCTTTATGTGTACTTTCAGACTGTTTGTCAAAGTAAATCTCATTCCACACACATCACACATGAAAGGCTTCTCACCTGAATGTTTCTCAAGATGTGCTTTCAGATAGTTCATCACATGGAATCCCTTACCACAGACATCACACACAAAGGGCTTCTGGTCTGGATGTGTCTTGAGATGTGTCTGTAGACTAGACGAGTCATCAAATACCTCATTACACACATCACACTTACAGGACTTTTCTTTAGTATTCATTATAACAACTTTATGTCTGCTGAGGATTTTTATCAGAAGCTTCTTCTCGTTGGTCCCCTAATCATTGCCATACAATTGGATATTTTTTTCCCTGTTGTGCACTATTTTGACATAAACTTTAGTGGCCTTTTCAGTCTTTAACTTGTGTACATTTCTTCTTTGATGTGTCCAGTTTTTTGTCCTGGTGTTTGGTGATAAATACATAAAGCATTTGAGCTCTGAAAGTAAACAGGAAACAAAATGAAAGTTCAATCAAATTGATAACAAGAGTACCATGGGCTGAACGAGATACTCTCCTCCCATGTCGAAGAAATATTCATGATTTACTACATAGCAAAGTATACAAATATGGAAATTGTAATAATGACATGAGGGAAACAGTGCCCTGTAATTTAAGGATAAAGAGATGGGAGGAAACTGAAAGAATTTTCTAGACAATATCAAAGTGTTGAAAAGAACAAAGGGCAAGATCTTTTTGAATATTGTCAAATCAAAATGCTGTTTATGAGAAAACAATCTCATGTTGTGGTTTTAACATCTGCTAGGTTTTAAAGAAATTGCTTAAAACTGAAGAAGGAAACATCTGGAAAAGAACAAATTGTAAAAAATTAATAAAGTGCAATAACTCCTCCTCCAAAAAATGTAAAATCACTGTGCTATTAAGGAAGCCACACCTTTGTAATGATGATTAAGCCTACAAAGTTTCAAAGGAATCATTTGAAAACTGAGATCTCTGAATGATATTTATATGAAAACAACATTATCAGTGAAATTGACTAATGCTCCCACGAAAACATCTTTATTGCACACAAAATCTTAAGAAACAGAAATACTGTAACTAAGGGGTGGTGTCTGTTAGCCATCTTGCTTTTCCCATCATTCCCAGAATAGATTATGCACAAAAAGAAACAAAGGCCCATCGACATATGAAGTGTAATAATGATCAATCTACTACATTAAATTGAGAATTATCCATCCAATGCTTCTCCACAAATACTGATGCAAAGTATTGTTTGAAGACACACAGACAAAGGGCAATATGATTAATCACCATCTGATGATTGTGGACCGAAAAGTTGTTTGAAATACGTCATCTCTACAAAAACAGTTTTCTTTATTTGGGAGTAGTTGTAACTGGAAATATAATAATTTACACAGGAAACAGCTGATTAGACAAGCTGTGATAGTGCAGTCTGTTAGAAATGTTTGCCTACATAACCTCAGCTAAAAAGCCAAGGTACATGTGATTTAACACTCAAATCATCACGGTTTGGTTACTAAGAGGCTGGCCAATCTATGCTGACCTGGTTGAGTTCTAGCCCAGTTTATTTACATGTACTCATGACAGTATCATGACATTACAATTCCAGAGTAATATCATCTCTTCGGTGAAAAACCAGTTTTTGCTATCATGGCTTTGACCTTGGGCAATACACCCTAATTGCTCTGGATGGCATACAATGGGCCTCTTGTATGTTGTTTGGTGAGGTAGCCACCTGTTTCTACAAAAACATTGAAATAACTTTGGTTGTTCTAAGGTCATAAAACCTTTTAAAAAAAAATCTAACTGGCCCATAAAACGCAATCTCTCAACTCTACATTAAACTAGAGGCCAGTATCATATAAGTAAATGGGGACACATGCAAAAAAGATTTGATCACTGATGTGAAGAGAGCACTTTGAAGACTTCTGACTAATTAGTGAACAAACACAAGAGCTAATACTAGATTAGGCTCCACTATATTTGGACTGATTTTCAATCCCCTTCATTAAACATAATAGTCTATTCTGACTATCCAAGACAAAAGTAAAAATCATGGATAGATAGTCAGAACTCTACTTACATATATCTATATATATCTATCTATAGGTTCATTCATGTAAGTGAATTTCAGGTCTAAATAGGATTATGGTGAAAGTGAACTCTACTTACATATATCTATATATATCTATCTATAGGTTCATTCATGTAAGTGAATTTCAGGTCTAAATAGGATTATGGTGAAAGTGAACTCTACTTACATATATCTATATATATCTATCTATAGGTTCATTCATGTAAGTGAATTTCAGGTCTAAATAGGATTATGGTGAAAGTGAACTCTACTTACATATATCTATATATATCTATCTATAGGTTCATTCATGTAAGTGAATTTCAGGTCTAAATAGGATTATTGTGAAAGTTTGGGTAGTGAATTGATAATGAATTCAGTAAAAAAAAATTCAATATTTAAGCGAAATAAACCCTCCTTTTCACAATATTTTTTTTTTAAAATCCATATACCAAAGAGAAATACAGTGGGCACATACATTCGTTTTAGTTAAGATATAGGAGATAAACTGATCTAATTATGCTGAGGAATTAATTTTGGCATTCATTACGTCATACCAGTCCATTCCTGTAATTAGGCCTACCTATATGAAACCCTTCGTCATTGCAACCGGAGTGCGAGAGGTAAATATATGCCGAGCCCCAGTGTGGTCAGATTGATTTCTCTTTCCATGTCCGCCTGTAAAACAGGTTTATTGTCGTTAAACACATGGAACTAATAGGTTTAAAGATAGAACTATGACGGGCGAGGGAAGTCCCAGCATCCCGCTCCATTTTAAGATACCTATTTTAAGCTATATGACACCAGCTGTCTCCTTTATGATGTACTTTGAGCTGCATCAATTTTCTTTTCATATCACACGTTACTTTATTGTAAAAACTGAGGAAATGCTTTAGCAGTCAATGACATCACTTACCTTTGAATGTAAGATTAGCGATTATTTTGTTTGGTTGTGTCGGGACGCTTGGCTGTGTAAGGATTGGTCGCAGTAAAAACAGAAACCATTACCTTAACATAACGGAATTTACCAGAATGGGTTAAAAACCTATTATTTCTTTTGGAAAAAGGGACTATCAAAATGTTGTAAAATATTTTCATTTTTGATAATATATATAATATATTCCATAGGTGAATGATATATATTTTATAAAATTATACGCCAGGTGATTTTTTTGGCTTACCTGACAGTGTTCCAACAAGAACATGACACAAGTGACACCTGAATTTGGGCACTGCTGCCCCTGGGTATTTTTGACTGCCCTGCCTTTGTTTTGGCTGATTTAAGAAAAAAGGTTGCCTAAGACTAGATTTACCTCAGGTTACTCTAAAAATAATATACTTGACCATACCCCTCTCTCACTAGGGCCAATTGCTTCCTTCATTCTAAACAATGTGTTGTTAGATGGAAGGGCATTTATGGCTTTGGGTCCACGACGAAGAAGGACTCCACTGGTGACGTGTGTTCACACGAAGAAAGCATTCATTCACACTGGAGATCATGCAAATAATTAATAATTACACTCAGCAGATGCTTGCAGAAAGAATACCAATAAAGGATAAAGAAAACAATAGTTATGCCTGTAAATGTTCACCTCCCAGGTACTTATATAATAAATAACACAATGCTAAATTACAAAATGGTGTTTACCAGGAATTATTGTCATCATCCGTCTTGTTTTTCAATGGAATGCATTGGCTTCAATTCAAATTATCATGTTTGGATATATTTATTTTACAGTAAGAATGAAAAATGCGTGTATTTATTTTTAAAAAATGTTAAATGTCACATAAAAATGTATATAAACCATTAAATTCTGAAGTTTTTCTGTGACAATCTTGTAATTATTTAATATAGTAATATCACTAGTATTTGAATTATTACCAATTACTGCTAGCCCTGAACAACTGAGTAGCTTCTCACGAAATAATTTGTATATGATGGGTCTCAAAAGGGAAGTTTGACCACATTGTTCTTGTTTTTTTTTTTTTTTTTAATTTTTTAAACTTTCTTCTTTAGGAATATTTGTTTAAGAAATTATTCTGAAGCTGTTTGTGGTGAAGGGGATTCAATTTTGTATGAACAATGAGTCACACATTCACAGTCCCCTCTTTTAGGACAGAGTAGTACAACCCGATATGAAAATTAGAGGAAACCCTTGATGAAAAATAGTATAAGTGCAAAAGTTATTTGACAATGAAATATTTGTATTGCTATTCCTTGAGAAGTACCGATATGGATCTTTCTACAGTTTCAGAAGTAGGTTCCCCATGATCATTAGTTGTCCTCTTTGATTTTGAGACTGTTTGGAATAACAATGGTTGACAGGTAACCTGAATAAATTTATTATTATTATTAACCATCTTGGTTTTACAGGGAAAGTATGTTATTGTTATCACTTGTGAAGCACAGGAGGGATGACCTTTCTAAAATTCCAAGGTTCTCCTTGGTCCTTGTTTTGCCCTATTGAATTTTAGAAAAAATGCCAACAGCTGACAATTTTGGATTCCATATTTTATATTATAGAATATTATTATAGTTATTTCTAGAGCGGAATTAAAATGAAGAACAGATAACAATTTAAAAAGGAGAAAAGAAGGAAAAAGATCCAACTTTTAAAGAACAAATAAAGATATGGTGGGCACCGAGACCCCTCTGGGATTTCTTGTAAGCTCACATGGCACAAAGTGTCATCCTTCGTCCATTTTCTGTAACCTGTCAACTTTTATATGCTCTTAGAAAGTTATAAGCAACTGAGAACTAATATTTGATCAGAGGGTACCCGGGTTGAAGCACAATATAGTTTTTATAACATGAATGACCTTGACCTGAATTCAAAGTCACTGGTGTCAAATGGGTGAAAACTTAGAATCTTGTCAAGTTCCAGAACAATCAGGGGACAGATATTTGGCCAACAGGTACCTGGGGTTCAGTACTCTGAAGTGCATCATATAACTAACATTGATCTGTTCTCAAGGTCACAAAGGTCAAATATGCAAAGAAACATTTTAGAAGTTACTGAAGCTCCAGAAGACCAAGATTACTTTTATATAAAACCAGTGGTTTGTGCTTTTAATTATCCGAGAGGATGACAGTTCAAGTTAAATTTACATTGATATGTGATTATTGAACTTTCCTTGTTTTTATATAAAAAAGACAGTCATTTTATGTTTTTCTTTTAAAACACCGTCCAAATCATTTCTCTCTTCTGTCTTAGTTGGAGCAGCAAGGGACAACAAACATAATGGTTTGGAGCTAAATTTTGGCCAAAAGCAAACTATTCTTTGAAACCAGTTTGGTATTCATGAATGAAATTATCTTGGTTCCCCAGGACTGAAATATAAGTTGCTTTGAAGTTCTCCTGACTTTAGAAATAACAGGATATTTTTCCAAGTAAGGCTTGGAATATTCTTGGATATATGAATTAATCTGTAAAATTGGTGGGGAAGAGGAACAGAGTCCAAAAGGGGACATATACATGTAAATCTTAAAGAGCCTCTTTCTTTAAAGTTTATAATTAGGTTGGATAAAGCAGTTTACACCAACTCAAACCAGATGAGCGATACAAGTCCAATGAACCTCTAATTGATATGAAGTGTTGAATTTATTTGTTTTTACTTTCAGGATATGTTTGCGTGCTTCATCCTTTAATTCCCGATCTTCTCGGCTAAATGTCAGTACACTATGTGTGAGGCTGAGGACAGAGTATCAAGCAGACTACATCAAGACTGTTTGTAACGAGAATCAAAAACAAATTTCAAAAAATAAACATTCAGCACAAAAAGAAATCGGAAACATCAGTGAAGTAAGATTTAGCATGAAAATAACAGCAATCCCATATAGCAGACTGATAGACAATGAAATAAGCTGTGACGATGCTTCTTATAACACTCTGTTGCTGCTTAATGGTCTCGTGTACATCCGAGGACCTACACAACAGACAAGGTAAACAAATGATATGTCTGTAGCAAGGAGTTTAATCAGCCATATTGCCTGAAAACACATTAGAATATATACTGGAGAGAGCCTGAAGAGGTTGGGTAAAACGTCTTCGAGAACACCGCAGGCTACAAAGAGGAGTTAAACAATGCAATTGTGATCTCTGGTGTTTGACACACGATGTCTAATTTACAGGGTCACATCGTGATAAATACTGATAAAAAGCCGTATGTGTGTACTTTCTGTGGAAAGGAGTTTAGATGTAAAAGTAAATATCTATGGCATGTTAGGTCACATACCGGAAAGATGCCCTACCAGTGTGGTGCCTGTGGTAAGGGGTTCGACGAAGAAGGTCGTCTGAAACGACATGCCATGATACATACAGGAGAGAAGCCATACAAATGTGATGTCTGTGATAAGGCATTTCGTCTTTCCAGTAGTTTGAAGACACACCTCACAATACACACAGGAGAAAGGCCCTACAAATGTGATGTCTGCGGCAAGGAGTTTCGACAGTCCAGTAACCTTAGTAAACATGTCGGGGTACATGTCAAAGACAAGCCACACACGTGTGATGTTTGTGGTAAAGCGTTCACATTAAGGAGTAGCTTGAAGATGCACGTTCGTACACATACAGGAGAGAAACCATACAAATGTGATGTCTGTGACAAGGAATTTCATCGATCATTTAATCTATATAAACATCGCAAAATACATATAAAAGATAAACCGCACAACTGTGATGTGTGTGGTAAAGGTTTCACGTTTGAAAGTAGCTTACAGACACATGTACGAATACATACAGGAGAAAAACCGTACGAATGTAACGTCTGTGGCAAGGAGTATATGAGTGCAAATAGTCTCAAATTACATCTTATGAAACATACTGGAGAGACACCATATAAATGCGATGTGTGTGGAAAGGGGTTTACTCAGTCGGGGAACCTAAAACAGCATATCCGAATACATATTGCTGAGAATTCTAATCCGCACAAATGTGCTGTCTGTGGAAAACAATTTATTATGGCAATTCATTTAATGAAACATCTCGTAGTTCACACAAAAGAGCAACCATGAAAGTGCTTTATCTGCAGTGAATAGTTTACAGCTGAGAAATTATTAGTCACATTTACAGATATATTCAGGTGAAAAGACCTACCGATATTTGTCTGTGGCCAGGGATTTGAAATCTAGCCTATACACACACTTCAAGATACAGAATTGGGAGATACATTTAGGTACAGGAGTCTGACCTAAAGGAACTCTACCGGATACCAACTAGAGAGAAGTCGTACAAATATCATGTTTTGGGGTAAAGGTTTACAGCGAGGGGGAGAGGGATGGGGGCATACATATATTTCCAGTTATACCGGAGAAAGCCATGGCATGTTTCTTACAGGATAGTAATCGAAGTATTATGTTAGTTACAAGGTATTTGGTTGATTGGGCTAAATAACCATGTCAAAACACCGTGAAGTTGAGTTTGTCGCCTAACCTACCAAATTACATTAAAAAACTCTGATCTAGAGAAAAGAAGCTGGTGAACGTTGTTTCTGTACTCAAGTTGCAATCAGTCTTGCAGTCTGAAGTAACTGGCGATCACGAGAACACAAAATTAATGCAGATGAGACCTATTAAGTTTATTTCGTTAAGGCTGCAATCACCACACAAGACATAAACGGTTGATCATGACACACTGACAAAAATGACGTCTGATAGAATGTAAAGCTACATAGTTTCTACTTGGTGATTTGTCGGAGAACTTACTGGTCTCCGGTGAAGTCATATTGACAGGCCACAAGACAGATACAAAAGCAAAAATAACATACATGGCGTTGTCCTGAGCTGCTGAGTATTTGTAATTAACTTTGAAATATGAAATTCTCAAAATAACATTAAGGAAAATAAATCTAAATTCAAAACACAACCTGTTATGTTAAGATTTTACAAGTATGCGTCTCCGAGCTCGTGAAAGTATGGTTACATTCATCCTCATATTCAAATGTTAAGTATGACGAAATTACACTATTTTGAATAGACTGCCTTACATTAATTAACCGCTTTAGTTCACCTGATCCGAAGAGGTAAGCATGGTTATGTCGGTTCGGTCACAACTCAGTGATGATCCTTACCTCTTCCTGTATTAAATATTTAAGTTTGTACAAAAGCCACGATTGTGAATAACACGTTTCAATACAGATTTGGAATTGGATCATATAGAGTCTAATTATGAATTCAACTGCATCATATAGCTGTTTCTTCTAGGTCTCGTTAGTGATGTTGAGGGCATACATTTTGAAACTTCGGCGACTAGGAAGACTCAGACTTGCTAGAAAGAAATGGCAGAGTCTAGATAGAGAGGAACACTAGCTCCATGATTCAATAAATCTAATTGTTTTCATATCTCTGATAATTTCAATATCCAATACAAGTGCACGTGGCATGCAGGTTACGCCAAACCTCGAACACTACCAGCAGTGTCTACAAACTACTACCTCGAAGATTGTAAAAAAAAGAACCCAACAAATACAATCAATACAACATGATATACAAATACCCACAGCTTTGTCATCAGAATCACAATCGAAATTCATATTCAATAAAACTAGAGCAAAACGAAAACCAAAGAAATATTTACACGGAGACTCAAAAGTACAAGAGAATACGGCCAGGTGGTTCTGGAAGAGAAAGCGTTTTCTGCTTCATCGGCGACACCTACCATGTAAACCTTGGTTTATCCAAGTAAGTAATGTCACGTTCTCAAATGCAACGGTAAACAACAATGGGACCAACAGGTGAACCTTGGAGCATCAAACACGTTAAACGACATATCGCATAAACAATTATTCTATTTCCCAATGAGATCATTATGTCGATCTTAAAACAAAAGAGACACAATGTAAAATAATAGAATGTTTTAATACAAATTAGAAGAGCCACATTATGAATTTAACTGTATCATACAATTTTGAAACCTTGGAGTTCGAAAAATATGTCGTTAACTATTTTACAAACTTCGTGTATCATTAATTTACAAGATTTACATACAAGAACTGAGGCCCGTTCCTATAAGCAGATTTTATATAAAAAATATTTTACATTATTCTAATACAAAATAAGGTCTTTTCGTGAATTTTCTCCATATTTTTGTTGTTAGTTTCAAAGGTCCCAAATAAGAGGACAGTAGACACAAATGATAGTATGTAAACACATATATATACAATGTTTATTCAACGAATTACCATGAATCGGATTGATGAGTTCATGTGGCATTGTGCGCAATCAACTTTTTGTTTTGGAAACAACTACTTCTCATTGTCCAAGGGCCTGCAACATGCTTGAGTTAAGAGCTATCTAGTTTGTTCACATGAATTCTTTCTGATATATATGCAATGCTGGTATTTTGGAACAGAGCAATGCCGAAAAGTTTAAAAAGAATACAATACTGTTCTGTTGCTACAGGTAATGTTTATCACATATAGGAATCGCCAGTGTCCAACTAGTTTTTCTTATTTATTTTTTTCCCTAGGCCTTTTTAAGTCCTAAAACATTCTATGGTTTACCAAGGTGATGTCCACAGATTATACATCCACTCATTGGCCACTTGTGACGTCATATCATCATCGTGCCATAATTATTGTGACGTCACCAAGGAAAGAAATAATTATATGAATAGAGAATAATGCCTATTCCGCAGATTTCCTTAAAGAGATCTCGAAGAGATCTTGGCTTCCAAAATCTTTCGATATGTATTTGGTCTTTAAAATTTGCATGGATCATTTACTTTCTTTTCTTCTCTTTCCTCGGTATGAATTTTATGAAATTTGAAAATTCCTCTAAAGAAACAGAGACAACAAATATTAATTATCAAAATATAAGATGGCCACCTATCTGTTATCTTTTCTTTCTGATCTGTCCCAAAAAATTAAAAGACCACAACAAGAGACCAAGAGGAATGTTAATCTGCATATGAAATTAAAAAAAGAAATCGCAATAACAAGCTTTCTTTTTCAAAATCAAAATGGCCACCTGTCAGCCATTTAGTTCGTCCGTTCAATACCAAAATCAAAAGGGCACACCTATGGATAATGAGTAATCTACAGATAAAAGTTGAAAAAAAATCTGTTGTGTAATCCTGGTTTGATTGAAAAAGTCTGGTTTCTCAGCATCCTAATTTTCATAGTATTGTCTATATATTAGTATTACAATTTAAGTGTGTTATTGTCTTAAGTTTGATGTAATTTGTAAAATGACAAGATTCAGAGTTAACTTTTATGAGCTCATAACCTAATGTGACAACATTAACAAGACCTGTCAGTAGGTTACACTAAACAACCAATACTTTAACGGCATGTTCTCCAAACAGATTGTTCAAATTATTATCTCGCCTAGACTTCTATAAACCATTCTACACAAAATAATCATTCAACACTATTGACATGAATCAATAGCACTTCCCCAACTGTCTTTGAAGTGATTTGATGTGCCTTAAAGTACTAAAACAATCTTTTTTTTTTTTTTTTAAATTTCAATGGTTTTACAAATAGCTTAAAAGCTAAAAAAAAAAGGATTTTTTTTACAAATATAATAGAAGACAATTATGTTCTGTAGTAATTTTATTTCAAAGGTAATTATCTAATTTTTCCAACTTTATTGCATACTCCAAAAATGGCGAAAAGGTGGAACTCTTCGAAAATAACAACTTTGACAGTATGTCTGCCATTCGATGATTTCTAAATCTGTTGGAACAAGAAATTCCTATGCCTGATTTCATGTATGAATCTGAACATGTTTCTGTAGGTATGATAACCGACTGAATGCTTTACTACAGATATTGCACACAAAAGGCTTTACTCCGGTATGTGACATGAAATGTCTTCGTAAAATCAGCTGTTTATTAAACTCCTTTCCACAGAGATCACACTGGTATGGCTTCTCTCCTGTATGTGTTCTTAAATGTGTCTGTAGGTGATAAAGTTGTGCAAACGCCTTACCACAGATGTCACAATTATGAGGTTTCTCACCAGTGTGTGTCAATATATGCCTCTGCAAGTGAGAAGATTGGCTGAAACTGTCACCACACATGTCACATTGGTATGGTTTCTCACCAGTGTGTGTCATTATATGCCTCCGTAAGTGAGATAATTGGCTAAAACCGTTACCACATATGTCACATTGGTATGGTTTCTCTCTACTATGTGTCAATGAATGTTTTTCCAAGTAAGCCAATTCAATGAAACGTTTTCCACATATTTCACACATGTGATGTTTCTCTGTGATATGTAACCTTGAATGTGTTTGTAGTTGAAATAGCGTTTTGAATATTTTACCACAAATATCACACACCAATGAATTTTCTATGATCACTGATTGTTTAGTTTTCTCTCCTTCATGTGTCTTGTCCTCTCTCTGTAGCTCTCCTTCATGTGTCTTGTCCTGCATCTGTAGTTCTCCTTCATGTGTCTTGTCCTGCATCTGTAGTTCTTCTTCATGTGTCTTGTACTGTGTCTGTAGTTCTTCTTCGTGTGTCTTGTCCTGTCTCTGTAGTTCTCCTTCATGTGTCTTGTCCTGCATCTGTAGTTTTTCTTCATGTGTCTTGTCCTGTCTCTGTAGTTCTCCTTCATGTGTCTTGTCCTGCATCTGTAGTTCTTCTTCATGTGTCTTGTCCTGTCTCTGTAGTTCTCCTTCATGTGCCCTGTCCTGTCTCTGTAGTTCTCCTTCATGTGTCTTGTACTGCATCTGTAGTTCAACTTCATGTGTCTTGTCCTGTCTCTGTAGTTCTCCTTCATGTGTCTTGTCCTGTCTCTGTAGTTCTCCTTCATGTGTCTTGTCCTGCATCTGTAGTTCTTCTTCATGTGTCTTGTCCTGTCTCTGTAGTTCTCCTTCATGTGTCCTGTCCTGTCCCTGTAGTTCTCCTTCATGTGTCTTGTACTGCATCTGTAGTTCCTCTTCATGTGTCTTGTCCTGCATCTGTAGTTCTTCTTCATGTGTCTCTTCCTGTCTCTGTAGTTCTTCTGCATGTGCCTTGTCCTGCATCTGTAGTTCTTCATGTGTCTTATCCTCTCTCTGTAGTTCTCCTTCATGTGTCTTGTCCTGTCGCCGTAGTTCTCCTTCATGAGCTTTGGAATGTCTCTGAAGACCCCACAATCTTGTAAACTCCTTACTACAGACATCACACTTGAATTGCTTCTCCCCAGAATGTATGATTTTATGTCTCTTAAGGTGTGAAGCTTGACCAAAACTGTTTCCACAAACTTCACATTTGTAAGGTTTTTCTCCCGTATGTATCCTCAAATGTTTCTGAAGTTGAGATGGTGCTGCAAAACCTTTACCACAAACATCACACTTACAAATACCTGATTCTGTATGTGTCTTGACATGTGCATGCAGGGTGGAGTTCAGTCTAAACTGTTTGTCACAAATATCACACCTGTAAGGCTTTTCATAGGTATGTGATCTATTATGATCCCTTAACATATGTTTGTTATCCAGTGTCTTACCACAGATATTACACTTGAAAGAATGACTTTTTTTGTGTGTCCTTAAATGTGTCTGTAGGTTATCACTCCTTTTAAAACCTTTACCACACAAATCACAATGATAGGGCCTTTCTCCTGTGTGTGTCCTGAGGTGAGTCTGAAGGCTTGACGACTGACTACACTGCTTTCCACAGATATGACACTTGTATGGTTTATTCTTTGTGTGTATCCTGACATGTGTTTTCAGGTGGTCCTGCCTGTTAAAGTCCTTTCCACACACATCACATACAAAAGGTTTCTCTCCAGTATGTGTCCTCACGTGTGACTGAAGATTACTGTATTGAGTAAACCCCTTACTACAGACATCACACTTGTAAGGTTTTTCTCCAGTGTGCATCCTTAAATGTTTCTGAAGATGTGATTGAGCAATGAAACCCTTGCCACAAATATTACACTTGCTGAGACCATCTCCTGTATGGGTTTTGGAATGGGCAAGTAGTGTAGACGCATGAGTGAATTTTTTCTCACAAACATCACACTTGTGACACTTTTCTTTGGGACTCTTCACTTCAGACATCATGTGTTTTGTTTTCTTTTCCTTTTTTCTTTTTGTATTCTATTTCCTAATCAGTGGATATGATACATTCAATTTTGACACTTTGATAGGTGTATTCCTATTTTGATGTTGAGCATGCATACGTCTCCTTCAATAGGCCAGTAGGATAGAGATAGTTTCATGTGACAGTGACTTGTATCACTAACATAAGCAATTTCCTAGTGAGCATTTCTCTTCCAAATATTTTTAGGATGTACCTGAAATAGAAAGAAATTGAAGACCTTTTGAAAACATGTAAATCAAACTAAAATCTAGCACACAAGGGTCAAATATCAATCTAAAAGACTTGCACAGGAACCCTGACACATGGATCCTAGGTTTACACAGGTACACTTACACCGGGACTCTAGATTTCCACATGGACCCTTTCAAGGGGAACCTAGATTTCCACAAGGACCATTACACAGGGACCCTAAATTTCCACAAGGACCATTACAAAGAAACCCTAGATTTTCACATGGACCCTTACAAAGGGAACCTAGATTTCCACAAGGACCATTAAACAGGGACCCTCAGGAAACACATGGACCATTGGTTTACTCAGAAGCCCTAGATTTACACAAGGATTCTAGATTTACACAGGGAACCTAGATTTACTAAGGGACTATCAGACAGGAACCCTAGATTTACATACAGACCTTTACGCAAGGACTCTCACTTTACATATGGACCCTAGATTTACACATGGACCCTTACACATGGAACAAAGATTTATGCTGGGGCCCTGGGTTTACACACTAGATTACACATGGACCCTCCATTATTCTGGAATGGTTATGTTATTGGTAACATCTGCCATATCTACATGTAAAAAGACCATGTATTGTGTTGGACAATAAACCCCGAGATTAACCAGAAATATAAATCATTACAGAAAAACAACTATATGCTCAAATACAAAATATTTCTGATATAATCAAAGGCATCATGCAAGTAAAATAAAGATTTTTGTCTTTGAACTCAATAGTAATTGATTGTCCATTCAGTGGTGGGATTGGCCATTTAATATATTACCATCTAGAATCCTGCTGCACAGTGACTCTTTATTTAATCAAAATCATACTTCACTGATTGCATTTGAACAAGAAACAGAATATTGATAACCAAGCAATGATATATTTCTCATTTTGATGTTTCTTGTTCATAAGGTAATAAAGAAATATTTGCCAGTACAATATTTAATATTTAACATCCACTGCGAGGTTGACTTTTGGTGAAGTGACTTCTATGATTGATCCACTTCACTTCATATATAGCAGACAAAGTTGCTGAAAACGAACTAGTAGGTAAATTTTGGTAAAATACCTCAAGTTGAGCACGTGATGCTGCCAGATTTGAGGTGGTGGAACACGAGCTTCGTAGAAGATGGCTAATTTGACATGGTTTATGGACAAATGTCTATCACCTTTACAAATTATATGCACATTCATCCGACATCTTCAATGATGAATTAGTTACCTGGATGACTGATGTTTTAATGCAGTCAACAGCTTGTGATCTAGGCTAGCCGTGAGCAATCCACTCGGCCATCCAGATGTCTGCATTTACGTTCGTGACATATAGAGAGACAGAGCGTCTAAAAGTCATGATACATTCTCATCTTTATATTATTTCGTACCAAAAAATATTCGGAAACATAACAATGTGGCACTCAATCCGGCAGAATGTAGATCTAGACAAGCTTCTCGCTTACCCTAATAATATCAAACCGGAAATTATACATGGATACATGTATGTCCTAAAATCATGAATAAGGATGACAACTGACATGAATATTTTGGCGTACAAGATATGAAAGTTTTCATGCTTCAGTGCTAATGTAAAGGAACAAAGTTGTTATATGCGACCTTTACTAGGAACTGAAAAGTCCTAGGAGGACGAAGCATCTACACATGTATGGCACATTTTGAAGTTCGTGCAATATTTGGTATTACAACCTTCTGTTACTCGCTACGGAATTATCACACCCTAGACATTTTTGGACAACCGTTCGGGAGACCCGGTGTGTTCTTGCCTGTTCTATTACACTAGTATGAAAGAAACCATTCTGGGAAATATTTTAATAAAATTGTTTAATAAACAATGTTGAAATAAAATTTCATTTGTGACTATTTGATTTAATATGCATTACGAAGAAAAACAGTAAATACCATTGTTCCAGAACAAGGATGTTGGCAGCAATGCCTCAGTGCAGCAGGATTTTAACCGAGTCGCTGATATCGACCGTAATCTTCGAAACAGCCCAAATGTTCATCTTTTAAAGACTGTTTCATGTCACGGTTTCATGCAATATATATATGAATCATTTTTGCTTTTATCTGTGGTCTTAGAGAATGGTAAACTCTGTTTAAAAGGAAAGTGTAAACCGGTTATAACAAGATATTTATTTATTTATTTATTTATTTATTTATTTATTTATTTATTTATTTATTTATCCTTTTCGTACTACATATACGTTTGATGTACATGCCATTTAACTGACACACCGAAAATGATTGATATTTTAGCATATGTCCCAAGAAAAGAAAGTACACCAAGAATAATCAAACTTGTCCAGATAAAATTCAAACATGCGTAAAAACACTGCAAGCATGCCACGCATGTTCTTACTGGATACAACTATTGCATTTCAATTACAGCGTATCAATATTGTTCTAAATTCAAGAAATAAATTCTCGTACACCGTTTTGTCAAGTTGCGCTTGCGGTTCCGAGTCGAACGATTTATGGCCCACCACCAAATTTTCTTACTACATCGTATGCACACATGGTGTTTTATCAGTACTATATCTTCAAGGAATATGAGACTATTGTAAATGACCAAGCAGAGGCCAGCAATGTTTTGAATATTTTTATGTCAAAGGTGCCTCTGATATTGGTTCCAGTGGGTCTGATGACGAGAAAGTTTCAACACAGTTAACCATGAGTACGTGTATGTCACCTGTCCATGTCTAATGATTGCCTTCCTCGTAACATGCTGACCAGGAAGCTATATGCATTTGGTTTATGAATGAAAGATCCCACAGGACAGGTTCATATTGACTCTAATGGTGACTGGCAGAAAGTTCCGTTAAAGAAGGCTGGTCCTGTTTTGGGATGACACTGTTTGTCATTATCATATCTGCAAGCATTGCTCATTTCATTTCCCTTTTCTTCCGGATTCTCTATACACGTGCAAGAGTCGTCTTTACACTACTGATAATAGAAAATTATATATTTTACATACCAGACTAAACTAGTAGTAATTTAATCTCATAATATCTCCTGTTTTATTGTAATTTTGTATCAGCACACGACGATGAACAAAATACAATGGCTATAGGTCATCCTGGTCAGGGTCTCGTTAAAGATCAAAGATGCTTTGGACAAGTGACTTGTGTGTTCCGACTAATTGTCCGTCATTTTAATAAGATCAATTAAAAATTCTGTTGATAAATCAATGTAATAGTACATAACATAAACGAGGCAGGAAAAAATAAATCTAAAAATATTTCGATAGATCAACACGCAAATGGTGTCTTTCCCGTGACCTCAGATGTCTTTCTTCTGGGCATAAATAACACGAGATCATTCATTATAAGGTTGAAATCTGGTGATGGTTATATAATTACATGACAGGATGAATGCCTGATAGAGAGTCACTATGACATGTGCTGGCAGAATGAAACATGATTACATTGTACATTGCTTGAAACAATGTAAATTCACGAATAAATTATAAACAGGATGGAATTTTCCTTATTGAAGTTCATCTTGCGATGTTGTTCTAGACTTGAAGACTGTGAAAACCTCTTACGACAAAGCTCGCATGCGTATGGCTTTATGTGTGTCTTGTGGTGCCTTAGTGCACTGATTGATTTTGTGTATTCCTTACCACAAGTAACACATTTGTAAGGAATTTCACCTGTATGCGTTCTCAAATGTGCCTTTATGCTCACCAAAGCAATATTCTTTACCATAGACATCACATTTGTATGGTTTATCTCAATGTGTGAAGCTGGGGATGTTTTTAAGAGACGAGGAACCATTAAAACTCTTACTGCAATCATGGCACACATAAGCCTTCTTTCTGGTTTGTATTTGGTAGTGTGCCCTTAAACATTCGGCTTCATCAAAGCTCTTAGCATAGATATTGCACTTAAAAGGCTTCTCTAGATTTCCTGTGTGTGTTTGAATGTTTCTCCAACTGATGAGTACTGCAAAAATTCTCTACCACAGACTTCACACCTGCACGGATGTCTCTTGTATGTGATATGCAATGCATTCTTAGGCCCCCTGCCTGACTTAATCCCTGATCATAGTTACTTAAATGGCTTTTCTCCCGTATGTACCCCGATATGCCTTTGAAGGATGGATGGTTCTTCGAACTCTTCTTCCACAGACATCACATTTGTACTGCTTCTTTCTTTGACTTGTTTTCATATTTCTGTATGTGAATTTATTGGTCACAGACAATGCACTTCAGGTTATATCCACAGAATGGAAAGGAGAAGTTTCTCAAATGATTGTTAATCTGCCACAACCGTCACATTCGTATGGCCATACGACAGTACACAGCCAAGTTGATTGACTTACTATGTTCTCACACCACAACCGTCACATTCGTATGGCCATACCACAGTAAACAGCCAAGTTGATTGACTTACTATGTTCTCACACCACAACCGTCACATTCGTATGGCCATACCACAGTAAACAGCCAAGTTGATTGACTTACTATGTTCTCACACCACAACCGTCACATTCGTATGGCCATACCACAGTAAACAGCCAAGTTGATTGACTTACTATGTTCTCACACCACAACCGTCACATTCGTATGGCCATACCACAGTAAACAGCCAAGTTGATTGACTTACTATGTTCTCATAAACATCACACTCGGACGACCACTCTTTGTACCTTAGTGTTTTTATTCACAGGAAATCGGTCCGACATTATATACTCTCGATGATTGTCTTCATTGTATGCACTTACCGAGCCATATTAGAATGGCGCTTGTCTTGAATATGTATTTACATAGGAAATACATGGTCAGTGTCTTTAAATATATGCAGTATGTTAGTGAGGGTGAAGAAAGGCAAATATGACGAGCGTGTGGCAAGCCAAAATGAAAAGAAAGTGTTTTGCTATCTGTGATATTCCTTGTATATAGCATGTCACTGGTGTCTCTCCGCAGCGAAGCCTCTGTACGTCATCAGGTGGTATCCAGCCCTCTTCAGAAGTTTCGACCCTAAACCACAACATCATCCGGCTGGTGGGTCAGCAGTGATGGCCAAGCCACTGCTCGTCTATGTTGGCTTCCAGATAGGCTCGTCTCATCGGTGCCATAGCTAGCACGATGCTTTCTCTACAGTTTCTGCCAAACGTCTGATGGCTGCATTTCGAGCTCTTCCTGTGATCCCTAGTGTCAACAGCATCCTCCATAAGTATTTGGCGGGGAACCCTCGGCAGCCTATCTCCACAGGAAATTGCCATACAGTCCATCCCCTCTCTCTGCACTTCGCCATCAGCTCATCATACTTTGTTTTCTTCTTTTCATGGAAATGCTCTTCCCATGGTACCGTTAGCTTTTTTGCGATGAGGAGTTTGGTCTGCTGCCATGACACAACGATGTCAGGCCTCAGTTGTGTCTCCACGACACCCTGGAAGACAAGTTTCCAATCCAATTCAACATTCATCTTCCATAACTGCGCCCTGTGCAAGATCGAAGAGTTGCTTCTCATCGTTCTTTTCCCTCTTTCACTCTGCCTGACAAACTGAATAGCACACTGTGCTGCTGGCTGATTTGTCCTCTTCTTCTGTCTTTTCGTCTCCAGGATATCAGCACTCAGTATATTGGCCATACGCAGATCCAGACATTTTTCCCAAAGGGAAGAGCCTACCAACATATTCATGAAATATAAAAGCAACAACCTTATTAGAAGGAAATGTGGATGTTAGCCACTATTTAAATATCAGCATTTCCATTTCTGGCCACGAAGAGGCCTCCGTAATACGAACCTTCTTTTTTATTTATTTATTTTTCTTTTTTTTTTAAATGTTTGAACAGAAGTGATAATCTTACAAACCGACTTGTATGATATCTAATTGTAAAAGATGCTTGACTTGAACATTCGTCTTTTGTTTTGCATCACAAATCATTGGCAGATTGCATTGATGGTTTGTGCATGAAGCAAGTGCATGAGGGCTAGTGATGACAATCCATCCTCATTCATTGTACTGCGCATATAGCTTTTAATGCGAAGCCCAGAAAATGAGCGTTCGGCATCACAAGAGGTGAAGGTAAGGTGCAACCAATGTGAAGAAGTGTTTTGATGTCTGGAAAGATGTCCCCGTCTGCAATTGGTAGGTATCTAAAAGATTGTCCACTGTGATGTCCTTTTCATCGAGTTTACCACAAGCCATCTTCCACTCCAACAAATGCCCTTGTAGATCTTGTGAAGATGAACACTGCAGATCTGAGTCCCAGAAGAAAAATTCAGAAGGAAGTTCTTGTATTTCAGAATCTGACAGGGTCAACATTTGCTTAGAAACCACACCACCAAATGCATATGCAACACTGTCATCTTTGTGAAATCTGTCATTGAGCTCAGTTGATAAATGATCCAGAATGGAGCAGCTACTGTGGCTTTGTAATGTTGTTGCGAACAGGAACTACCAATATTTGTTCTCTGTGTTTGCTGATAACATGTTCAAGGGATCTTCTTTTCTATTTCAAGTTTGTTTACGATTCGTTTGCAATCTTAATACCACGTTTCAAACTCAACATCTACTCCTCTCATCTCTTTCACCCTCTCAATACGATCAGTAATCAGTGTACGGGCTTCATACACGTCCAAATCACGTTTCTGAAGTTTTGATGTAAGGGGTTTGACTGTCTGCAGAACAGCCCTGGCGCAGATGAACGTAACCAAAAACTGGTACGACATCAGAGTAGCAGCAATCTCTGTGCTGTAATTTTAGTTTGAGCATCCCACGACCACTCATCTCGAGTGTTAATAACATTTGCATACCTAACTTTAGTCCCCAAGGAATGTTAAATATGTCTGGAATATGTCTAGAATGTAATCGGTAATTATTCAATCATCATCACATCAATATATTAACGCGGCAGACAGAATATTTAATGGTTTCCCGTTATATAATGGTATCACATTAAATATCCTATACCCTATATTTCATATATATGACACAATATCTACACGTGCATTTTTGTGAGAAGTATGTGTGAATTATATGTATACATTTAACGGAAAATCATGAAGTTTCTTCTAAACTACATTTTTTTATTAAAAGAGAAAACAATTGAAAAAAGCTGATCCAATCAAAAAATATAGAATGTACAGAAAAGCTTTGGAAATATTAACATGTTCTTTGATAACCCATAGCTACATATATAGTGTGACAGTACCATTGGCAAGGTGACATCATTGTAAAACAGGCTGGTACATGTTCAGGTATACTACCATTTTATATGGTATTAAGAGACAAACAATTAAAACATGGTATTATACCAATTTTGAAAAAACCAGAAATGTACATGGAAATTAATTGATGGAAAACCAACTTATTCAGCATTTGGTTTGTCTGAATAGGAAAATTGGTGAATTTCATTTCATGGACTAAAAATTCTCAAAAAAAATTAAAACATTAACACTAAGGATCATAAGTAAGTTTGTATTTAAAATGTGATTAAATGAATTAAGTTTTAAGAGTTTTTAATTTCAGCTTGTCTTACCCGAGCTATATGAAATATTTGTAACAAGTTTCATAAATAACCTATGAAAAAAACATGTTGAAAACCAATTTGAAATCCTTTCAAATAATCGTTTATTCAGGCCATAGACATTCCCACGTCAAACTTAAAGTTATTCCAGTCTTATTTTATAGTCTTCACTACAACATTGTTACTCCACATCAATCTGTCAGCATGTGATGTCATTTCATTATCTAACACCTGATCATGATATCACAATATCTTTAGGTGTAAATCAATACTAAAACAAATTTTTTTTTTTTAAATCCTATTTTCTTTATTCATCTCAGACACACAAAGTGTGTAACAAGAGGACAGAATAATCTTTGCATCAATTAAAATTTTAGGACAATGACAAGCAAAATTGTGTAGGACTAGAAAAACTTCAAAAGGATGGAGCCAACATCAGATAGAAGTAAATGGGTGTTGGATAGGTACTTCGCTTGGAGTACGGATACCCTAAAGGTATGCAGGGTGATTAAACAAAGACTAAGAAGTATATATGATGAAGAGGCTATTAATCACAACATACTCACCATCCATTACCAATGAAGAGGGTGTTGACTTCATTGTCGACTAAGAACTGAAGTTGGGATCTACACCCTACAGACACAATGTCCGTGGGGCCTCAACATCCCAAGGTGACACATGGAGTAGAAAGAAAAGATAAAGAAAAAAAGCACAATGGAAACCCAGAATACCATGTATACTATGTGGGAAATTTTACTGCGCTAAAGGGAATCTGAGAAGACACGTCAACAACATACATGGGAACAAACCCACATGGTACAGATGTAAGATATGTAAAACTGCCTTCGGCCATAACGATAATTATGACAAACACTTAGCCATAATGCACCCATTTTACAGAGTTGAACCTAAAATTTTCATGGATAACACCTGACAGAAGATAAAAACTCCAGAAAAGCTACGCAGACCATTTGAAAGCCTAACCAAAACACAACTAGAAACCTCCAAATTCAATGTAAGACCTGCCTCAGGGGTAACTGCTGCCAACCCCACCAGCAAATTCAGACCGGTGCTGGAGGAGGCTGTAGAACTACTCCAAGAGGACCCTTTTCCTCAGCAACTCAACAGATTATAACAGTTCTATATCAGAGAAAATTAATTACAGGGATCTACCCTACATATTAGAATCACACAATTTGTCCAGATGAAATACCAGAAGAAACTTAAGGACAAGAAAAACAATAAAAACATTGTTAAAATTCTTAATTCATAAATACCATTTATAATACTGTGAACTGTGCAAAAATTAGAGATTACGAAAGATAATTGTCCATTACGTCACAGTTAAAATTCTCCTCCCTGAAGATACTTCTTGGATAAAATTTGCATGCATTTTGTCCTGAAGAAGCCTCTGTGACAGAAGCGAAACTAGTTGACAATAAAGTCAACATCCTCTTAATCGGTAACGTGTGAGGATGTTGTGATTGATAGCCTCTTTGTTTAGGACTAGAAAAGTTACGTCATTACTCACATATTATAGACTTGTTCTTACCGCAGACATTGATGTCACTAATTACCGTGACATTGATACATTAAGTGTAGATAATTACAGTAGTGTCACTAATTAATAACATATCAAATAATACCAACGATATCATATCAGATATTTTTTATACTAATAGCTTTTTCTTAAAAATTGTAAACATACCTTTCATTATATGATGATTTGGTCCGGTGTAAAAATGCGAAGGAATAAATTATGTTTTAAATGTACTACATTAACACTTTTCCAGACAAATAAATAATGGTATTCATCTCAAGAAGAGTCACTCTGAACAAGCAGGAGGAAGGTTCAGAACCCTTCTTCTCCCATTCAGATTAATTCTTGGTGATTTAAGCTCACCCTTATTTAGCAATCCACTGCATACATTCAGGTTTCTATGTTAAAGGAAAAGGGCCAATCTACTCACCACTTGAAGCAATGATGCATTGATTCCATCAATACCTAATACTATTACAAGGATGTTTACTGAACAACATCACATTCACATGATAAAATATGAGACATTCTGTAATTTCTATAGTAATCGACACTTTCAGTTTTGACACTTGTAATTAAGGGGTCTTCCAAAATACCCTGTAAATTACCATATCTATATATTCTGCAATAAGCCCTGTGGACAAACACAAAATTCTTTTATGGGAGAATGAAACAGTGTTTGTTGGTAAAATCTCTAAACAACAATAGATATGAGTGAACTTTAGGGCACTCAGCAGCAGTAGACCTCAGCGAGTATTTTTTTGACTCTGAAAAATGAGTTTTGCCTCTTTAGTTTGAAAGAACATGTCTATTTTTTTGACAGGTTTTAATCCTTTGAAGCGTAATTTGATTTCTGAAATTGCTTAATGTCAATGTATACATTTACTACAACTAAGTGCCCTGGGCTTATTACCAAGTATGTGCTTCTTGCCTGAAAAGTGTGGTAAATTTCTTAACACTGTAGACGCCTCATCCTCATTAAGGTTTATCTTTTGTATGCGACCTTAAATGTCTACGAAGGTTAGAGGACTGAGTGAATCCTTTTCCGCAGACGTCGCATTTGTACGGTTTCTCTCCTGTATGGGTCATCATATGTAGCTGTAAGTATTCACGCCTTGTGAATTCCTTGCCACAGACATCACACTTGAAAGGACTTTCGCCAATGTGTGTCCTGAAATGTGTCTGCATGTGAGATGACTGACTAAATACCTTACCACAGACTGTACATTTATAAGGCTTTTCTCCAGTATGTGTTATGAAGTGAGTGTGAAGGTGACACGACTGGCTAAAACCCTTACCACAGACATCACATTTGTACGGCTTTTCTCCTGTATGTGTCCTTATATGTTTCTGCAATGTGTCTCTTCTTATAAATTCTTTACCACAGAAATCACATTTGTGAGGCCTTGTTCCTGTATGAGACCTGAAATGTCTCAAAAGTTTCGACGATGCACTAAATTCCTTACCACAGACATCACATTTGAAAGGCGTCTCTCCTGTATGTGTTCGGAAATGTGTATCTAGATGTGCTGACTGAGCAAAGTCTTTACCACATAGATCACACTTGTATGGCTTTTTTCTCGTTTGTGTGCACTGCTGATTGTTTAGGATGCATTCATTCAGACACATCTTTCCACAAACAACACATATGTTTTCATCAGTATTCTCCATTACACACTGGTTTTCACATACCTGTACACACAAGCAAAATGGCCCAACAGCAGAACAGTCATCTCATGCAGCTAAAATTCATTTCCTTTTTGTCAGAAGAATGGGTTTGTGTTGTGTTCATACAGTAATGGATGATCTGCAACAATTGTATGTCTAGCATTAACTTCTGGTTCCAGATGTAGGAATAAAGTGTTTCCTACTGCGATTAAAATCACCTGAAACAAAAATCCAATACAGATATTGAGCATCACATAAAATCAAACACTGGAAATAAAATTTTATTCAGATAAAACTTAAAGATCAAACACAAGTGCTCACCAACAGCAATACAGATAGGAACTAGAAATCTGGATTGCTAAAATCTAATGTTTTCATAGAGAGAGAAATTCAGACTATTGTACATAGCCTTTATGATAAAATTAGCAATAGCATCAACACATTAAAGGTCATTAGGACCATCAACCAGTGAAAGATACTTTTGATCCAAAAAAAGAGGAAACGTCATCAAACAAACTAAAACGTAAAAGGCAAATGCTAAAAATCTATAGATGAAGACTATGTATATAAAGTATTGATTTCTAATTTTCCCAACTTTACATATCCATGGTCCAAATTATACTGATATTCTATATATGTTTTTTTATAGTATGTAAGAGGCAAGAGTGTAATGTGTTCTATTTGTATTTGTTACAGGGTGTCGTCCTTATGATCGTAATAAATATACAGAACGAACTCCGGTGTTGTGACGTTTCTTGCAACCCCCGATTACATAGACTTTTATATATCGGCTTGGAGTCAATTTATGTCAATATTCTGTTCCTATATAAGAAGTGAAGAAAATCACTGTAAGTGACTTGTGCATGGGTTGGAATTCAAACAATAATTGTGGATAGAAATTATCATTTTCTCATGCATATCACTTATGAATCGAAAGGTTACAAAATAAAAATATACTCTGAAGCAGTAACTTATGTAGGCTCATTTCCAAAACTCTAATGAGTCCTAATGCTAAAGTGTCCTCTCAAAATTTGAGCAAGTCCAACAGGAAAATCTGGAGTCAAGAATCCAAAATGCTAATGGTCTTCATTGCTGCTCAACAATGGGATAACTCTGGGATCCATGACTATTGTCCTGGTCACTATGGGTTAGGTCTAACGTTACCAAAATCTTTACTTACAATAATTACTACAGTTATCAGGTTGTTGTTATTGTTAATTCACACGGGGATAGGAATCTGATTTTTACATTTTATTATCATTGAATATGTTCTGCTAATAGAAAATACATGTTGGGTCGATAAAAATGGTAAATTATCCATAAACTTACAAATTTTGTCTGGACATTTGTTCCGGACCTTTATGTATTTCAGAACGGCCATTTTGTCGAGCTGTATCACATGAACTATTGACCTCCATGACCTTGCCCCTGGATAGAATATAGTATTGTAATTTCAACTACTCAACATAAAATATTATGAGTATCCATTTCGTTGACAAATTTGTGTCTTAACACACATTTTTTCATGTCAAACATTCTCCTTTATGTGATAAAATATCCATGACCTATCAATTCATCCTCAGATGCCAATGTTTTGTAGTCGTCTGTTGTGTGAATTAAAACTTAATATGAGTAATAGGCAACACCATCTCACAATTTTTTTAGCTACCAAAGTCCTAACATGTCTGTCAATTATTGAAAAAATCTATGATTTTTAAAATGTCCTTTTTGACAACTCATTTCTGATTTTATTTAAATAGCGAGTTACACACAGAGAGATGAAAAATCAACTATATTTACATAGTTTGTGTTATGAAAAAGAAGTTTACCAAGAAATAAGGATAATTTGAGAAAAAAGGAATCAAACACAAAAACTTGAAAATAACCCTTTAGGAAAGCATAAACACAGATATCCACCACTTTTGCATCATAAATGTATTTCGATTTTCATCAAAATGTCATTGGCGTTCAAATGATGATTTTATGTAATACATGTGTACATCTGGGTCACTCCAAGTTACCTCAAGCGTGTCTGTGATGTTGTGATTTTATCAGAAACGGAAGTGCAGTTAAATGTCCGATACACATGTCGATCATTTCAGGTGAGCGAATTTGAGGTCGTATCTGTGTATATTTTTTAGCAAAACGCTAGTCTTTCATCGGTCAAGTTTTAAAATGAATCTTACAGTATCGACATATTTAAAAGTTATTTATTTAATTTTTGGTGGCAATTCGTTGACATAGCTTGGCTTGCGAGAAATGGTTTTTAAGGAGTCCGAAACTAATGCGCCAAGGATATTTAACAAACAAAAAAAAAAAGAGATGAAAATTACATTCGTGGCCACACGCACCTGTGCATCTTAAGTAAGACGTTCTACGGCGGCTCTTCCAATCTTGTGCTTTCAACCGCAATTAAAAGTGATCACAATGTACGTTTACCTTAACTGGTAACTTTTCTAACATCAGCGTTACTATGGTCTGCACTGCAAGCTGCACTTTCACTAAGTAATTTCTTATAGCAGTAGATAATTTTGACGTCAGAAGTGCGCATGTGCAGGGAAATGGGTGAGGCGAAAACCAGGAACAGCCCTAAGCATGGCGTGAAATATTTTATCTTTTTGTATCTAACATGAAAATTTCGAATGTTTTTGTTTGGAAATAACATAAGAAATATAAGCGTACGTTAGATGAAACGAATATTTAATTGCTCAAAAGTTTATGATTGTTTAATCATATAACTGAGATTTTTAGCTAATTGGAAGTTGGTGAATGGCTAGCTTAAGTCAAAAATATCAAGTTTATGTACGCAGTTTGGTCTCGTTTCAACAGACCAACTAAGGATCGATAACTTTCCCACAATTCCAGATAAAATCTGCACAGTAACTTTTAAATTGAAATTTTGATATCACGAACCAAAATGACGATATGTAAACTGTTACAACAATATTACTTGCCTAAAATCTACCCACTAACCCCCTCCTCTTCCCGCGATGCTGCAAATGGACAGAAATACCATTCAAACCAATTAAGTTTTCGTCGTTATTGTTAGAATCTTTGATTCATCATTGAAGTTCATTAATAAATATATTGAAGTCCTCATTCATAGTGAATAAATAATTCTGCCTTGGCAAAAGTCATGATGCACCATGATGCATGTTGATAATTTTTAGCAGACCTCAATGAAGATGTCTTAGATATGTTTTCATTTTTTAGCCTTTCAATGTTTTCGACAGGTTGAGTTTGCTTTTATCAAATATATTTACTTTCAGGAATGTCAATTAAAATAAGCTTAATCTTAATATATATTATCATCTTATAGAGGAACGAACCGGTATGTAACGGCCTGTTTTGTAGAAATCCGTCAGCAGTTTATAATTGTCATTCCGGATACATTTTTCGCGTGTTAGACTCCGCGCATACTATGGGATGCAGAAAAACTGTCAACACGCGGTTCCAGCGTAGAGTGAATGAGGACGTTTTACGTGAAATTCCCGCAGTACCAGAGGAAACAATACGGTAATTAACGAAGGATAAGTTCCCAGAGACATGTTTTAAACTGTAATGAATCAGTTTGTGATGATATCTAATGTAGAGTAGCGTATTTCTCTTGTAGTCACGTGCGATCAGTGTATGGACAATTCGTTCCCAGAAAACGGTGAACATTTTGGTTAGTTTAGTTCAGCTTAACCGATCGTTTAGTGTTGACAATCAGTGGCATGATGGCCTAAGCAATCTGTGACATTATTTTAGACGGACCTGGATAAATCTTAATAGCTTTATTTGTCGGAATACCTAATATGCAAAATACGTAGAGTGTACGTCGTATAACGTCGTGTGTACATGTAGGTCGAATCCGGAATCATCATTTTAGGTCATAGTAGCTGGTAATAATAATCACCCGAAGATAGTTTCAGCATTGTATAGAATTTCATAAGCATGTGTTAGAAATATTTTGTTTGTATTTGTTATAGTCAATCTTTCTACATACAATAAAGAGATGGAATGAATTGGCGCTGTTTGTTGGTGTTGAGAGGGAATTACACGGTAATTCACTCTGACTTTGGTAAACTTTCATCGCACTACAGATACAAGTACGTGCATTTAATAAAGAGCCTTTTTTGTAAGTAACCGGTTTGAAATTAATTTCGTCGTAACTTGTTACAATTAGTACACTTGCCTTATTCGGAACTCATAGTCCGAAGTCTGACTTAGTTTTTAATTATACTAGTGATACTCTTGTTTTTTTCCGGTGAAAAAATGATTGGCGGGAAAAACCATGAATGCCTGTTTGTATAGTCTAGATCAGCGTTTAAAGACACGTGCCATAGCTTATCAGCTATACACGTAAAACGAAAAGAAGATACGATATGGTACAGAGTCCAAGTCATTAAATTTGGTATGCATTTGCATTTCTGGCAATGTTTGTGTATGGTTGAATGCGTATCGGACTGGAAACTGAGTGCTTCAAGTCAGCATTCAACAATGTGACATTGATGTGATATTATTAATACAGATGTCGCTGTATTATTTTGATCAACTCTCAAATTATCCACAAGTAGTGAACTGAACCAAATGTGTACTAATAAAGGGGCTCTGTAATTTTAACCACATTCCACTTCCATCAGGCTTGCCATGAATTTTAGCAACGAAGATCAGTGAATGATATAACTGAATTTTCAGTAATTTACAACTTTGAATAAAAGAGAGTGCTGACATAATTAAAAGGATAAAAAAAATCCTTGAAAAAACCCAGCTTGATCGTTTGATCGCCAAACTTGTAAGCCATGGGTACCGGGTTCAGATTCTAGCGGAGTCATTGGAATAAATAATGACCTCTAGGTCATTGTGCAGCAGGAAAAAAGTATTTCAACCATTTGTATACCATGACACAAGATGTCATAACAGAAAACTGCTCAACCAACAATGAACCAATCCAGCTATATGAGCACGTGCGGAAACAGGACCGTGAGAACGTGGAACTATCTTCCTAACTATGTAGTGAACTCGCTGTCACCGGGGTGTGGTTGGGTATATATATATAGATACAAATCACTCTGATTTCAAATTTGTTCGATGATTTATTTCTGAAGGGAAAAAGAACCTGAAAAGACAAGACAAACATTTAGACTCCAAGCCTCTTTCGAAACAAACACTCACCAATCACGAACGCGCCGGATACAATCAACTTCCACAGCATTGTCAACTTACCAGGCTTCACTGGCCCCGCACCATACAAAGTGATACGTATAGTATATGTGTATGATATATGATCTTGCTGGACCGCTCGCGCTGACGTCCAGCAGTAGAGTGCCAGGACAGAGAGAGACAGATAGAAAGAAAACCAAAGGAAGTGACGTAAACAGGTGTGGAGAACGCAATTAGCATGCAGTACAAATGCAGGTGTTAGAAGTGCTGAGTTGCGTTCACGTTGAAATCCATGTCACGTCGGACTAGTTCGGCCACATACCACACATTCCACTGGACAATACATGAGACATAAACAACATGTCACGTGTACATATACTTAGTAACGTCACGTGCACATTCACAAAACAGTAACAAGGACATTTACAATATGATACCTGAGTATGCATCTATGCTACATTGTTATTAAAATACCACATGTGGACACATGGGTTACATCACTATTAGTAAACATTTTTAAACACATATACTGGTTTGACCGCCGTTCAGAGTTTGTTAGTAAAATGGTACATGCTGCTGTCACCAGAGCACTAGATTAATATATGACAACTGGAAATGATAGTCAATCTGTAATAGGTTTTGAAAACCTTTTACTATAAGCACTGGAAGCTAGAGGAAGCTTACAGTGGTGTCGATTATACAACAATGTAATTAACATCGTCTTAGTTTAGTGGACTATCCATCGAACCCGATCTGTATGCTAACAATGCGCAATACAAATACTGAGTTAAATAATGGAAGCGGTGATCCAACAACTAATAACACATTATTATATATATTATGTATTATTATTAATCTATGTGTCAATGGTTTATCATCACAACTACATCTATATGTTTATAGATATCAAAAGTACCTATATTGTATGCATAATCCACATATGTTTGTATACACGGATACTACACGCGAACAGGTAAACACTTAAATTAGTGCATTCAAATAACAGACGTAAATAGGACACTTGGAAATTACCCGGAATAAACAGAAATTTATACGGCCACGTCATGCTGTATGTGTGGTGATGTCAGTACTATTTAAAGTGAAATACTTGTGTTAACTGGTTTCATTCATAATACGTGGAATATTGTGATCTGTACTGCAGCTTTTACTGTAGGAGGCCACTCACATGAAAGTTTAAATCATGGTAAGAAAGACACTTTCTATTTGATAAAAGATGTTCATAAGTCATGGGTAGGTAGGCAGTGTGTTGATAGACGGGGGGGGGGGGGGGGGGGGGGGGGGGGTTATTATCTGCACGGATATAGACGTGGCTGATAAATCATCATAAAATATCTGGACTGTGTATTTTACATTTATTTCAAAATTATTACAATTTTTATGAATAAACTTCTTCCATTCTGTGAATATTTCGTTTTAATTCCCCACGTCCACGTCTCAACGTCCACCGTAGTATAAAGATTACATATTTTTAAGTGATTGCGATCGTGCGATAGATAGGACTTTTCAAGATGGCAGACCAACCTAGCATCGGAAGGTAAGCTCTGCTTTCAAACGCTAATATCCATAATTCATATACTCACTATGATCATGACACATATTGTATCTGATTCACAAATAGTACTAATATTGTTGTACGTAGCTATCTGGATGATGATAGACTTAAAATGTAGTGCAATCTGGATACAAGCGGGTGTGAGCTCAACTATCAGCCCTAGCTAAAACAATTGAATAGATTCAGTTAGAGTTTTAATTTCAAACTGAAGATTTCACAAGCCTCTAATCGAATGACAATCTTCTGTGACGGAATAGGAAGAGGGGAAAAAAAAAAAAAAAAAAACCACAGGAAATTTTGACCATGCGATGGTCCTTAGTAACATGATCACAAAATGCATCGAGACCGAGCCTTCGCATGGTCAAAATTTCCTGTTTTTTTTTTCTCCAATCACAAATATCAAAATGTGGAATACACTCTTTCATTCGACAATAGTAAATGTGGTGTTATAACAATAAAATGAAAATATTTAAACAAGACCCAAATTATGGATTTCCAAACAAAATGTCTACATCTTGAAAGGATATAAAATTAAATTGATTTTTGTATGATCCATACCAAGCAGTAAATTCTTCAATAAGTTGGACTATGAAATAACACCTGGTGAATATGTGTTTCTGGTTCGCTTTCATAAAAGGTACAAAGTTCACTAGATATTTACTCCATTTTTACTGAAATAGAGTTTGTGGAAAGAATTCTATGACATATTTTATATCGAAA